TAATAATAATAATAATAATAATTTATTGTGAAAAAAACATAGAAAATTTTCACAAATGGAAACAGAGTTCGCCATAGGCGATCTTCCACTCTTCCAGTAAAGACTGTGACATAATATGCTTAAATAAAGACAACATTCTTTGACATGAGACGCATAACATGATCTAATTATCATAAATATACATGCTTGAAAAACACTAAAAAATAATGAAAAAAATAAAGAACAAAGAAAAAAAGAATTGCACATTTCGTACCTATTTAAACATTATTAACAATGGTATTCTAAAAAATTAGCTTTTATTTCAAAAATGATCAAAACACATGTCAAATATTATTTTTTTGAAATTATCCAAAGATAAACTTAGGTGTTCTTGAATTTGATTTAAGGTTGAAACAGCAATGTATGTGAAACTGCCTCGAAATTTTTTTGTTCTGTATTTGGGTATTGTGAGACTATCAATTCGCAAGTTCACTGCATGCCTACTTGACCGCTTTTCTAAGGTTTCCAGTAAGTATCCAGGAGAACCACTTTTACACAATTTGTAAAGAAAGATGCATAGCAAATAGTGAATTCGTCCTTTCACATTTAATAAATGGATTCTTTCAAGATAAGGGCTTACATGGTCTCTAGAAGGTATACCTAAAGCGAATCTAAAACACGCATTTTGCAAGCGTTGTAATTTGTGTTTATATTGTTGCGTAAGAGAATTGTAATACACCAAACTACAATATTCAAATATGGGAAAAATAAGAGTTTGTATCAACTTCAGTTTTGTATCCACTGGTAGATTTTTCAAGTGATAAATTGCTTTTAATTTAGAGAAGCCCAACCCATATGCTCTATCGACATGCTTTTGGAAAGATAGGTGTTCGTCTAAGATGAGCCCTAGGTTTTTCGTGTGTGTTACCCATTTAATTGCCGCACCGTTTAGTTTTAAAATATGACAGTTTAAATTAATTTCATTTGTCCTCATTCTATTTGATATGCAGAGGGCAACAGTTTTGTCTGGGTTCAGACATAATCCATTCCTATTGCACCAAAGATTTATATTGGCTAGGTCATCATTGATTTTAGTTATGACATGAGTCATATGAGTTATGTTGCATGCTGCATATAATTGAATTTTATTAATAAATCGAAATAAAGTTGTTAATGATGGGAGAGTATTTTGTAAATTTGCATGCAGCATCTCATACACCAATCTTCCTCCAATAAAAAAGATGTACACTGCGAATTGTTTAACTGTTGTATTGTAAGAGTTTTGGTTTTTAGGGCGTTGGGAGTTTTGTTTGGAAGTGTCCATAAGAATCCTCAATAATATTTCTGTGTTTGATACTGACGAGGGTACTGAAGACGGATAGTGACTCGACCAGCTTTCTAGTAACTTCTTTTTTAGGGCTTCGTTTTCTTGCATAAGCTTGACGACATCATCCACAACAGCATAATAATTAGTAATTAATGGTTGATTCGGTATAATTTGTTCACGAGCTCTTCTTCTGCGTTCACTCCTTTGGTATTTTGGTGTTCTCCACTTTGTAGTTTTGTCTCGAATGTTGTTGTGATCAATTTGATGATCTTCAAAATTTTTTGTTTGTGAAACTACCTCTTTCGAAATCATGGCAACGTTTTGGTTCGAGTCGGTACTCTTATCTCGATTTTTATTTTTGTTTAGTGACTCTATGCCGGAGATATTTAAGTCATCACAATTTGAATTTTGGTGTAGAACATCCATGATTTTTTCTTTTATAGATGACGAGGGAAGAGTAACACCGACAGAAATATCTTGCAGAATGTTAATTTTGTTTTGTTGTAGTTTTTTTGGTGTTGAATATCCTGAACTGGACGCTGCCATTGTGACCTCTGTTGACTTATGTATAGGTTTAAAATACGTTGTCAATGATGCTGTTGCTTTTTTCATTGAGCAATTCTGCTGGTTAGAATTAGGTACATTTTTACAACCAGGAGTTGTTGGCGTAGTCTCGGCCGTAGTAGTTAACTCTTTATGAGTTAAAATATGTTTATGAAAATTTCCAAGCACCCATCTTGGTTTTTGGTTTTGATTTCGTGAAATTTTTTGTACATTTATGACTTTTCCACATGTAAAACATGTAATACATGCCTTTAAATTGTTGTCGTAATCTAATTTTGATGTAACTTTTAATTCGTTTATTTTTGCTTCGTGTGCATGAAGCTGAGATTCAGAAAGGTTGCATTTCAGCCACGCTTTCAAAGTTTTTGAAATATGAACATTCTCGTCTGAAAGATTGGTATCTGCACATTTTATTTCATTCGCCCCAGAATTTTGTAATACTCGTGTAAATGGAGTTTGAATTTGTCGAAGAGTTTGTTTTGTAGTATTAGTAGAATTGATTATGGGAACTGTCTGATGTTTGCTCTTGCAATACTCTTTCAGTTTGAAAATTATATCGCGATGAGAGCTTAAAAATTGAAATTTGTCTACTTTAGTTTTAAAAATGCCATAATATTGGTCATACTCGGATTCATCAATAATTTCATGCAATGTAGTCCGAGCAAACGCTTCGATATCAGACAAATTTTTGTCCTTTATGTCGGCCAATAAGCCTATGTCGTTGTAATCATTTACAGTCAACATTTTTCTTACGCAGTTAGGTATTTTTATTTTAAGCGCCCGTGAAGCTTCAGTAAAAATGTCTACGTCCGAGACGCCACTCGAAACTTCTTCGGCCATTTTCCCAAAATTACTATAACAATACAATACACAAGACGTTAGATCCTAAATGAAATCTTATCAATTATCATGGATAGCGTATTAAATGCCAAATGATGTTGAGAAATTGGAAAAAAAATTCTATAATTTCTATATTTAGATGGCGAGTAGCGATGTTTACTGTTAAAAGAGGAGGTTCGTGTAATGTCGCGCTGCTATGGTTAACTGCACTGCACAACAAATCATAAGACGCGCCATAAGATAAAAAAATTCCACGAATGTTGGTAACGAGATAATGAAATCACCAAATACGTATCGTTGCGGATTCTAGTCTAATTACAATAACTCACCTGCCGTAGTTATTAATATGAAGTTAAAATAAATCCGTCTTTGGTTAGGTTCCGAAAGCACAACGACAACACAATACACAAATCACAAATACAAAACGTGTTCATCTCCTACTCCTTCCACCCGTTTAACGCTTGTAAAAGCCTTTGCGCATGACACGTTGAATCTAACGTTCACAAAAACTTCCATCTACTTCCATCTACTTCCACCTACTTCCATCTACTTCCACCTACTTCCATCTACTTCCATCTACTTCCATCTACCTCCACCTACTTCCTTTACACTTCCACCTACTTCCAATATAATTCCACTTGGGTGTACACCTACTTCCACCGGCGGTTCACCCCTCGACCTGGTCAAATAATTTAATTCCATCTTTCATCAAAACTTGCACTTCATTTACAAAGTCAAATAAAAAATCATTAAAACTTGCTGGTTTTTGATAGCCATGGTAAATTCCAATTGTAACTATGTTACTTGCATTTTTAATATTTTTAACTATACCTAATATAGGATAAATTTGACTGCTGGAACTGCGTGACAAAGGTAATCCATCAATATTAATTGCCATCTCTATGGCATTCCCACAGGGTTTTAAGCCTAAATGAGTATACTGCTGCTCAATTTGATTTTGTATACCAATATGGTAATACATTCCTGGTTCTACAACGTTACACTGAACTTTCTTTGGTGTACAAAAGAGAGTTCTTGGGTCTTTTGGAAATTTTAATTCAGGAGCTAACACAGGAACTACCTTATTTAAAAACTCTTTCATACAAGAAAGTGATAGATTATGATTTAAAGCCCACTGTTTGGTTATATTTAGATAATTATTATAGTGCTCTGTGCACTCGGCCAAAGGATTCAAAGTTATTATGTTGTTGCTAACAGTATTAGTTTTTGAATCTTCCTGAATAAACTTAAAATTGTCAGTATCATTATCAATAAAATTAATTTCAAACTTATCAGAATTAGAAGCAGGATCACAAAGCTCGAAACCGTCAAAGGTGTCAATTTCCATGTGTTGACTATTATCGCTCTCCATTAGCCCTTTGGATTTTATGGGATCAGTTTCATTAAAGAAATTATCGACTTCCTTTTGAACTACCCGCCGCAAATGTCGTTTCGTAACACGAATTTTCGGCATAATTAAAATTAAAACAAACCTGCAACAGAAATTTTACATTGGTATATGGTGCATAATGTAGATACTCTACTTATGGCGGCTCCACACATGCGGCATTCGGCGAATCTCGAATACCGAATGTTCGGCGCTCGGCGAGCAGCTAGTAGTATGTATGGTCGATTTGACGACATACTCGATGCCTGGCGAGCGGCAAATAATTTCCCATCGGTTGTCGGTAAATGTGCACGAGTCAAAGGACACGAATACCGCGACAAAAGTAAATTTAATCTCGTCCACACATTCGTCTCGTTGCTCGTGGCCACGGAAATCGCATACGCTTCCAGTATTTTTCCGTAAGCAAACCAGTTAGGCTTGTAAACGTCTTCCGAACCTGATCCTGATTTCATACTCTTTAATACTTTCTTGTGACATGATCGGAAGGAAGCCATAAGTGAATCCTTCTTTTTCTTCAGATCGGTTATGGATCCGTTGAATTTAAGTCTCATCTGTACCTATATTTCGCCAAGCATCGTGAACGTCATTTCTATTTTTGTGTGACTGGTGCGATGGATCCCATATCAAACGCTGCTCTTCGTACAAGTCTAGGAGCTCTAGTACACTTTCGTTTGACCAAAAGCACGACTCCATCTTGTAAACGAGGTACACAAACAATTCCCGCCACGAGCGCATCGACAAGTCGCAACTACTAAATGAAGCGCATGTGTGGAAGTGCTCGCTTACTTGCCAAGTAGTTCGCCGAATACACAAATATTCGCGACTCACCGAATGCCGCATGTATGGACCCGCCATTAGATTTAAATCTTTGTTGTAAAAAATGAAGACAAACTAAATAATATGTAGGTATAGGTCATTCGAGGTCATAGTAATGTACGTAACATCCAAATGAACAGTTGAAAATATAAACAATGTCAACTAATTAGATTAATTATTATATCCACCTATGGTTTACCTACCTTTTTTGATCACTTGATTCGTTCAATTATTAATTAATGAAATAGACAACAGGCACGTGGTGACACTAGCAATTCATAACCACAAAATGTACGAATTACGAATACGATACGAGGGCGTTGTCGAACTGACCGAGCTCTACATACAGCGGTATGTTTGGAATAAATAAGACAACTTTACACTTTAACCGCTTGCGTGAAAGAGAGATGGCATATTTTGTATGTGTGTGTGATAGAGCTTCAATACCGTATAACGGCGGTAAATTTCCGATTTCATCATACTAGACTTGCCAATCTTTTCTTTTTCCACAATTCTTTATAAATTGTATTTCATAAATTTCTTTACATTCTTGAGTTAGCTTTGCAAGAAAAGTATTGAAGCAAATTAGAGGTAAATTGTATAATTCAGAAAATACTCTGCAGTTGAGCTCGATGATTATTCCTACAATAATTTCATAGAATAATCTTTGATCATTTTTTAAATGATTGAATATATAGCCTAATAAGCGAACATTCCAGAAATATTTAAAACGATTGTTCATAGAATAATGCCTATAAATAATCTTAGAATATTTTATAAATAGTTGAATATTTTCAGAATATTCAGCATATTGACAGAATATTCCAAGAAGAATTAATGTTATCTGGGTAAATCAGTACATTGTTCGTGAAACACAACAAAATAAAAAAAATTTCCAAAACTAACAACACTTAATTTTAAAAATGGGAAAAAAGTGAAATTGTCTCAAAATCTATATTTTAAGGCAAATGTCACATATGTAATTCTCTGGGCTATCAAATCCACTGCACAATTCATGGGCCCAACTGCCACACTGTGTGCAGCGGTACCACAACTCCCCTTCTCGTCCAAACTCTTCGCATATAATGCAGATATAAATAGAATAGCATTCTGTAATTGACTCGCACTCCAGGAGCCTTTCTTCCCCTGTGCTTTGTAATTTTTAGGCATCTGCAACAAAAACTAATTCCTAAGCAGTTTTCTTCATTGCGAAATAGGTGGGGTAATTCCGGTCATGACTGGTATTCCCCCAGCACTTCTGACCGGTATTGCCCAATCACACACTATCGTAGAAACGTAAACATTAAAAATGCTAGACCAGCAATCGACACTTTCCAAAATAAGAATAAGAAAGAACACGTATTCCTTGACATATTGCTATCCATAGTATTACAATACATAAGAAATTTGGTTACTTACCTCGCTATAAAATTAACCGAATTTTATACTTCCTGTAACGTTAAACGTATCTTAGTCACTGCTGTGATCATACTGGTCCGTTGAAAGCGAAACCTCGTTAAATTAACTTACGGCGACATACAATAGGTGGCAGACCTGTTCTATGTTGGCTTGGTTTGACAGGTAACTGTATTCTCTGGTGACCGGAATTACCCATCTGACTGGGATTCCCCCACATTCCCCTACATCTTCCGGTCTCAAACAGATGGAACGTTCCATAATCATCTAAATCAAACCATTAACAAAATAATGCTAAAAGTGGGCTATTAAAAATTACATACCTATTGTAAACAAGCGGTGTTAGTCTTGAAAAAGACTGTTTTTGTAAATAAAAGGAAAAATAATGGAATACGATAAACAGGAAAGAGATGAATTTAAGCACGGATAAGCGTAAAAAAAGTGAAAAGTAAAAAAGAATGACAAACAAGAGCAAAAATGGAATAAATGGGAACAGATAGCGAAAATACAATGGAAGATTATGATTAAAGTGAGGTTATAAAGCAAGATTTGTAAACAATTGAAAACGTGGTTATAGGGTTTTTTGTTCAACAAATTAGTTATTTTCTTGTAATAGAACATTTTTACTATCTTATGTTGGTGACAATGTTAGATAAAGAAAACATGATGGTAGAGTTTCTGTCTTTATCTTAATTTACAACGAAATCGTCTATTGCCGGTACGCTTTCACAAAACTCGAGACCAGTGGCTTTCTATTCTAGAACTTTGAACAATTGTGAACAAAATCATTCGGCTATTGAGAAGGAGGCCTACGCCATTGTTGAGTCGTTGAAGAAATGGCGGCACTTCTTAATTGGAAAACCTTTCAAATTCATCACAGATCAGAGATCTGTAAGCTTTATGTTTAACTCTAAATTACCTAGTAAAATAAAGAACGAGAAAATTCAAAGATGGCGTTTGGAACTAGCTCCGTTCAATTACGATATCATCTACAGACCTGGACGATCAGAAAACTACGTTGCTGACGCTTTGTCAAGAATCTCTGCTAGTATGAATTCACAATCAAGAAATCTAAAATTGAAGGAACTGCACGATCAAAAATAAGAATTTACCATATACAATTGAAGAAATCCGAGTTATGACTAACAACCCGCACTTGTGCAGAAATAAAACCGAAATATTATAGGCATTCAGATCCACTACCAGAACTAATTAAAGCAACGTCACCTTTTGAGCGAATCGGCATCGATTTTAAAGGTCCTGTTCCCACGAATACCAAGAATACATTCATACTTACAGTCATTGATGAATACTCTCATTTTCCATTTGCTTTTCCATGCTCCGATGTAAGCGCAAAGACTGTAATTACTCATCTAAATTCACTTTTCATGTTGTTTGGTATGCCGAGCTATGTACACTCAGATCGAGGTGCATCGTTTATTCTAGTGAAGTAAAGCAGTACTTGCACTCACGAGGTATTGCCACGAGTCGTACTACCGCCTATAATCCTCAAGGAAATGGTCAAGTTGAAAAACTTAATTCAACATTATGGAAAGCAATTCAACTAGCTCTGAAGACCTCACAATTTACCAATTGATCAATGGGAAAAAGTTCTATCATTCGCTCTACATTCCATTCGTTCTCTTTTATGTACAACGATTAACTGAAAGGATGTTTCGACACAATAGACGATCTCCTAATGGAACTTCTATGCCTACATGGCTGACAGAGGCAGAACAAGTATTATTGCGTCGTTGTGACTGAAGTAGTAAATACCAGCCTCTCGTTGAAGAGGTAGACTTGTTGGAGTCAAACGCTGACTATTCCTTTGTTCGCCTCCGAGATGGACGTGAAACCACTGTATCCAACAGACACCTGGCTCCCATTGGAGGACAAGGAGAGATAATAGCCTCTAGACCAGAACCTGAAGTTGTTGTCCAACAACCTCACCCGCCAACAATAAATCAAGATATCAATCTAGAGCTTCAAGATTCAAATGTGCAACTTCAGCCTGTTGTGGATCTAGAATCCGAAACATTAAGACGATCAGCTAGAACTAGAAGACCACCACTATATCTCAGAGACTATAGTTCTAGTTGAAATTTATTATTGTTATGGTGGAAATTTTGAAAGCCACGATGAATGATATGATTTGTTCTTTAATGGATCTAGACGTTGTATCGTTTGTTATTTTTGTATGTCAATTTGTCACTCATTTACTACAATGAGTTGCTGTCGAGTCACCTTTGGAATTTTTGTTTACATGGGAATTCGTATTTAACTTGAACTTCCAAAGGCGACTCGACAGCAACTCATTTTTGATCGCCCGTTATAATGTATAATTTTAAATGGAATAAAGCCTAGCTTTAGAAAAGGTTAAAATTAGTATTATAACAAGTTACATTCACGTTTCGTAATTATTAGAGAAATGAGGCACAATCGCACAATGAGAATGACGGAAATGACATTTGACAAACGAACACAAAGGAAAATCTGGACAAACACGTAGCCTGGTTACAGCGGTGATCAAAAGATCTGGGTATCGATTCCCGAAGTTAGTCGATATGCTCCGTGATGTGCATGTGATGTGACCGGTTGCCATGACGTCATGATCGTATACGATAGGGATAAGTTCAAGTTTAGCTGCATTCCCGAATCGCGAACAAACTGTATGCGCTAACCAATCACAGACAAGAATTGAACTGTCATTTGTCAGTTTTGTATTTTGTTTCGTTTTTGCATTAAGGATACTAGCTGTTATTAATAACCAGAAAATCCTCGAACAATTCCATGTTTTATTTCACAGAAAATATGTGAATTTATAGGTTAGGGCACTGAATAACCTCTATAGCAAAACAGCTGCAAGATCCATCCTGTAGCTGGAACTGCGCATGACTTTCACGCAACGAGTGGTCTAGACCAGTCGTTGCGTTCGAATGTTCGATCAACTTTTCGCTCGATGTGGTAGGTTCGAGAATGCAGTGACATTCACGTTCACATCAAGGTCAGTCGATGTGAACAAAGCACATCTTCGGGAATCGACGCCCTGATCTGTCTGTTGCCGGCCGCTCGTCGGTGTAGGTCGAGGTCAAACTAAAAGTGTGCAAAAATCCCAGGCGCCAGAAGCTGTATACAGTGCGATCAATATTGAGTTGCTGCGCCGCTTCAATAAATTATGACGTTAGTAATCATTTGCCGCAACAGGCCTGGTGCACCAATACTAAAACATAACCTTAAAGTAAACTTTTGACGTTTAACCATATTTAACCTAAATCAACGATTTAACCACCTTGTAAGTTTCCAAATTATGTGGAACTACACGAATAACGAATTACTACAAAAATTGAAACGATTTTATTTCTTTTACAACTCGTTAATTTCGAAGTAATTGGGTAAATTACATGCACACTATAACATCTGTTCGAAGTGCTCGCCACCACTATTAAGACAGGGATTCACTCTTTTCTTCATGTTTTCGAAGCCGGCATGTAAGTGCTGTTGCGTAATGTTTCAAACGGCAGCTTCTATACCTGCTCGGAATTCGGCAATGGTATGTAAACGATTTCGAATACGTTGCCATCTCGTAAATTTGCATGCAATAATTTAGACGGCTTTGCAAGTCTGGACGATGAGTTCTTGTAACACGGTTACTTTAAAGGATAGAAGTACAATTTTCTCCAGGCAATAGCGTCACACGTTCCGTATGAGATGCCCGTTAGTGGGACAAATTGTCGCAGCTGCTTTTTCCGGCTTTGCTCAAGACGAGCAAGAACATCTTTTACAATCTCCTTATTAGCAATCACTAAGCGGCCAGGTGACTTCCCAGAAGCAAGACTTCCTGTATGTTAAACCGCTCAAGTAGACGATGAGCATTTCAGCGTATATTGTTGTAATCCTCGTCATGGTTGACAATCGTTTATCGAAACTCCTGTATACACAAACGTATCGAGTACTCCCAAACTCCACTTTCGTCTTTAGTCCCATTACGGAAACAGGACAGCAAACGCATCTTATTCTCTTCTAGGCCGCTTGACATGGAGCAATACAACGCGCACGAACTTGCAGAAAGAAATTGCAAGGTCAAATCCTTGCATGCAATAAGCATTGCATGGTATTTGACATGGTGCAATTCTATTTCAATTGCCACATGTCTGCCAACAGAAGAAACATATGCATTTGTCAACAAAGTTGTTAACCTCAAATGAAAATTAAATTTTGATTGCTTGAAGAAACATGAAAATTACAAGAATAAATAAGATTAATAAAAACAAGTAATGAGTGCGTCTCTCAGCATCACAATTGCCGCCGCTGTATTTTACTAGGTTGGTGCCACAAAAGCAACTAGATTTATCCCTAGAATTGCACGATTCATGCAAGAAAAATAGCACCGGTCCTATAAAAATTGCATGCAAGTCTCTTGCAGCAATTGATCAGCTGGCTTTGAACTGCGCATGCCTTTCGCAATTTTTCTTGCAACTTGCATGCAATTGCAATTTTTATTGCTCCATGTCAAGCGGGCTTAAAAAGTAAAAGGCTTGTCGGAGTAAACCTATTGCCTATTACACGCTACAACTAAAAAAACGTTTGTTTGTAATTTACCCACCTTGTAAATATTCGAAAGAAACTGGTAGTCTTGAAAAAAGCCGTTTTGAAAGGGACGAAAGTATTCGAATAAGATGTTGTAATTTTAAATGTTCTTGGACTGCAAATAAATAAACACACGTACTATACATTTTACATATTTTATTTTAATACAAAAAGCACTCCATCTTCTCTTCCTTTTTTATCCATTGTTGCCAACTTAACTTTTTTTTCTTCCAAGATTTTAGGGATGCATTCAACACCCCCCCTCGCTAAAATCTCTTAGACCAATACATATTTTAAACTTATTAAATGAACCACACTGTAACCCTTTAGTAAGAATATCGGCTTGCTGCCGTAACGTGTCAATATATGTTATTACAATGTGCTTCCTTTCAAGATGTTCACAAATAAACTTAAACTTTAAATCTAAATGCTTAACTCTTCTATTATTTTCAGGATTTCTAACTAATGCTATACAACCTTGGTTATCCTCATAATAGGTAACCCTTTTCCCATCTAATCCAAAATCTAAGATTAATTTTCTCAACCATATGCCTTCCTTAACTGAATCACATAAGGCCACTAACTCTGCCTCAGTGGTTGATAATGTTACACAATTTTGCTTTCTCGTTGCCCAACATATAGTATTATTATACAATTTAAACAAAAACCCTGTTACCGATTTTCGATCCTCGACATCATTTCCCCAATCGGAATCTACATAACATGATAAGTCAAAGCTTTTGTCTCTTTTATACTCTAAACCTACATTACACGTTTTCTTTAAATATCTAAGTATCCTTTTTAAGTACATCCACATATCATCTGTCGCTCTATCCTGGTATCTACTAAACATGTTTAATGCAAATGAAATATCTGGTCTTGTTCCTATCATTACATACATAAGACATCCTATTAGTTGTCTAAACGGTTTGCTTGTCATTTTATCATTTTCATTAGTAAGTAACTTTAATTTCGGGTCTATTGGCACATCACTACCTTTACATTCATTCATGTTGAACTTTGTTAAAACCTTTTTTATATACTTTGATTGACATATCCTTAATATTCCAGAGTCTCTATTGTAATCTATTTCTAATCCTAAAAAGTATTTGATATCCCCTTTATCTTTTATTTTAAATCTCTTTTTCAATTCATATACAATACCATTAACACTTTGCAAATGTGAACCAACAATTCTGTGGTGGGTGGGGAAAAAGGTATAAGTCAAGAATGTTCATTTTTAGTAAACTGGAAAATAAGTTTTTGTCAACCTTAACATTATGCTTTAAAATTGGCAGGGTTAGAATATTTTATAACGAGTTACATACTTACACAGGGTTTAGAAGCACCGTTTTGCTGGGGAAATATAAATTTTCAATTTTTTATAATAAAAAAAATAGATGTGACTTATACTGTTTGTACCATGCTAATGATTGACATGTACTATAAGTGCAACAACTTCAAATGGGTTATTTTTTAAGGTGGCAATAATTTTTAACTAAATCCTGTTTATTAGCTGAATTTGTTTATTTAAAAAATAAGGTAGTACAAAAATAAACACAAATTTGTAATGTAGAGGTACTGTGCAAAATACTCTATGCTTGTGTAGCATTATCCATCAAATTCTTCGATATCTGGATAACTGTCTGCAATATCATTGGACGTTTTTAAGTTTACATAGAAATCACGGAAAGGTAAGGATATTAAAGGCAGTAGCTCCAACAAATTCGATTTTTTTTCTTTAGTAATGGGTAGAGTATCTGTGTAGCACTTTGTTGGACTTAAGGTTGTGTTTTTATTACCACGACGTTTTAAATTCAATTCTTTAAATGGCTCATCTTCATTAAAGGATGTTTTAAAAAATACCTTACTAGGTTCTCTAGTATAACGAAACCATTTGGCATCGTGCCACTTAAAAGAGTTCCCCTCCGAGTCCTTTTTCCTTAATGTCAATGAAGTTCTATACAAAGCAGAGAAATTCAAAAACATGCTGTGGTCTAATTCTTTCACCAGAAACTTTTCTTTTTTGCCCACACCTCTAACGAGTTGGTACCAATCATGTGGATGGGATATTTCAATGCCTAATTTTTTCTTTTGCTTTTCAATCAAAGCATGATCGACATCACACTCCATATGACTGTGGCCACCATAAATTTGTGGTCAATGGCTTCTAAATTCTTATTTTGTTGCATAGCACATAAAAACATAGCAGCAACATGAGAGTTTTTATTTTGCCCTCCGCACGTATCAGAATAAAGTACTACATGCTTAATATTAGTAGGCAAATCTGTTAACTGCTTAAACAAACAAGTTCCGATTTGATTACCACCACGAGCTCCTTCGGCCTCATGCCACATGTAACATGTAACACCACCACTTCCTAAATCGTGCATTGTTAAATTGTAAGTCCAAAGTTGTCTCTTGTAGAAAGCAATAGATGAGTTAACATACGGGGTTGGAAGACACTGCTGTAGGTCGAAGGTGTAGCATCTGATGTCATCGTTTCACTTGGCAAACTTTTTGTCCGCATCTTTCTTCAGGTACGCATTATCAGCCTCGGCATGGTGAACTTCTATCTCTTCTTGAACACGTTTTCTTTCTTCTTCGTTTTCTTCTACTTTAAGTTTCATATGGAGCATGTCACATTTATGGCATGTATCAATTTTTGGTTGTTTGAATGCCAAGTTCATATTATGAAATTCCCTTTCATAAATTCTTCTAGAAACTCGAGGCTCGCGACCTTCGCAGTATAGTCGATACATTATTTGCAACGTTAGATGGGGGGCCAAAAAATTTTTGTTGTTATCTCTCCTGGTATAATGCGATTTATAAGACGGAAAGGATTTTATATGATCAATGACATCTTGTATCATATTGGGTGAATGCTTATTGGCAGGCTCTGCTCGACCCCTCTGATCGTCATATGTAATTCCAGAGGTAAACGAGTTTGAATTTGAAATAGCCGATGTCACAAACATTTGTGTCTCGGCTAATGTTTTCATGAAACAGCCTCTGCACACTTTCAATCTTTCGCCGTTCACCTTGAAGTGATAGGTGTGGGTAATCATTCTATATTTTTCCTTATCAGGATCTGCAGTCCTTTTCCTCTTAGTGGCGGTTTCTGTTGTATCCACTAGACTTGCTACATAAGCAACACGTTTGTTGCGGTCTCCTAATGACCAATATTCTCTAAATATGCTTTTACGTACCTCTGGAGGTATTCGATCAGTACATTTCATCCTACAAGTTGGCAACTCTTGCATTTCTCTTTGCTTTTTTTCTTTTCCCTTCGCCGTAATGTAGCTTTTTCCTAAATTTCGCTGTTGCTTTCTTTCCCTTCTGTTTTTCCTTGAATGGACCCCTCCTTTACTTCTTTTATTTGATTTGCTGGTAGATTTGGCTTCGGATTGCATATTTTGTGAATTCTCCTCTACATTTTCCTTTTCAAGTAGGAGTTTCGTTCTTTCTGACGCCATTATTTGCATAGAACTGCTGATCGGTGATGATAAAATCGCAAGCACACGCACCCACGCACAACCAACATGAGACTGACTTGACGGGGGGAATGAAGTACAATCCAAACTTTCCATTAGTAGTGTGTAAAACAGTATAAGTCAACTTAAACTATTTTTCTTTATTAAGATGATATGTGTAAAATAGTATAAGTCAACTTATACTCCTTTTCTCATCAAAGACCTTACAAAAATGAAGTTATACTAAACTGTGTATAGACATCCTTGTCTTAAATTATAGAATATAACTTATACTGTTAGTCCCAACTGATAGCCAAAAATAATAACATCTCGTTAATGACTTAAACTAATTTTACCAAATGTGAGACTTATACTCTTTTTCTCTCCCACCACAGAATTAGTATATCATCTACATATAGCAGAAGATAAATTTTATCATCGTCCCTACTCAATACATACAGGCAATAGTCATTCTCGGATCTACTAAAACCCAAACTAATGAGAAACCTATTTATTTCACAATTCCAATTTTTTGAAGATTGTTTCAGGCCATACAAAGCCTTATTTAGTTTCAATACTTTATTCCTATCAATATTCGACCCATCAGGAGGATAAATATAAACTGATTCCTTTAATTCTGCATTTAAAAATGCGGTTTTGACATCAAGCTGTCTAATATGATAGGCAAATTGATTTGCTATAGTTAACAATATCCTTAATGTAGTCATACGAGCGACTGGTGAATATATTTCATCGTATATTCCTTCTTGTGCAAAACCCCTAGCAACTAAGCGAGCTTTGTATTTGTCGCTTTCATTCTCTTCGTTTTCTTTAACATTGTAAACCCACTTTGTGTCTAATATTTTGTGATTATTTGGCCTATCAACAATTTCCCACGTGTTATTTTCTTTTATAGATTCTAGCTCACGGTTCATTGCATCTTCCCACATTTTTTTATCGTCCCTAGTATTTAACTCATTAAAATGTTGCGGAACATTATTTACAAAACCAACTGCGTTAAACGCCATGTATAACTCATAATCATCATATCGAGATGGTAGTTTTACTGTTCGCTTATTTTCCCTACCATTACTATTAACTGATTCATTTTCACCTATTGTTTCAACCTCTTCTGTATTCAAATCATCTTCTCTTACTTTAGTTAAAATCTCTTGTTCATCTACATTATTTTCATTTTCCAACTCTACTTCCTGAATTTTTACCCTATCATTAACTCTGCGGTACCAAAATTTGCTCTCATCAAATTTAACATCCCTAGATTCAATCAGTTTTTCTTTCTCTACACTCCACAATCTATAGCCAGTATTTGTGTACCCTAGCATAATACATGGTTCTACTTTCGCGTCAAATTTATCCCTGACCCCTTTTCTCAAAAGATTGTATGCGCATACCCCGAAAATTCTTAAGTTTTTGACATTTGGTTTCCTACCGTACCACAACTCGGCAGGTGTATTTTTCGGTAAAGCATCTACCGGACCTCTATTTATGACATAGTTTACATTTAGTATAGCCTCTCCCCATAAGTACTTAGGCACTCCTGAATCGTATATTATAGATCGTGCTCGCTCAACCAAACTCCTATTTTTCCTCTCAGCCTTTCCATTTTGCTGGGGCGTGTAAGGAGTACTATAATCTATAATTACCCCATTTTCTTTGCAAAAATCTCTAAAACCGTTTGATGTGTACTCACCCCCATTATCACACCTAAGTGTAGACACCTGTGACCTGAACATTGCCCTTGTCATATAGAAAAATTCACGAAATTTTGATAATGCTTCGCTTTTGTTCCTTAGTAAGTAAATGACTGTAAAATTTGAATAATCGTCAATAAATGTTATAAAATACTTGCTTCCATCATATGCAGTTGGAGTAATGGGACCGCAAATATCACTATGAATAATATCTAACAACCTTTTCCCTCGTGTTCGTATACCAAATGGCTGTGTTGACATTTTACCTGCTGTACATGATTCACAAAACTCATTATCAGATATTTTTACATTTTCTACACCCATAACCAAATCACTATTAATCAATTTCCGAAGACTTAAGAAGTTTAAATGTGCAAATCGTTTATGCCATTCTGAATAACCACATACATCTTTACTCGCAGCATTGCATTCATATTTATCTATTTCAAATTCAATTTCATATAAGCTCTCCCTTTTCCCAAGTCCTATTAATTTCCCTTCCTTTACCATCTCAACTCTCCCATTTCCAAAAGTGACATTCATTTCTGACATTTCTAATTTCTTTACAGAGAGTAAGTTTTTTCGTAAATTAGGTACATATAAAACATTTTTAATTTGACATTCAACTTTCTTATTTCCTAAATGAGACAACACATTAATATTTCCTACTTCAGTAGCTAACAGGTAGTTATCATTTTTTGCAATGGCTATTTTAATAGGCGTTTTCAGAGTGACAACATCAGAAAAACCATTTTTGTCATTAATCAAATGATCCGTACATCCCGAGTCAATAATAGTACATTATATATCAAGGTAGAGAAGTCCACTATTATTGCCTGAGCACCAAGATTACATCTCGAGGCGCTTGCGCCGAGGGGTGTAAGGTGCGAAGGCAATAATAGACTTCTCTACCGTGGTATATATACTATTTTTTTCACTACTAGCACTTGAAATCCTCTAAATTAACATATTATATTGATAAGAGAGTTAACGGTTGGACAGAATTGTTTGTTTCTTAATTTAACATGTCAATCAAGTACGTGGAAGTACAAGTCAAACAGGCCGTATTTTGTTCTGTCATTGAGATTTTTCAAAGAGTAATTTCGTTCGAATTTTTTCAAAATGTGATAATTTTAGGTATGTAATTTCTCTGGAAATTGCGAATGGTGGCAATTATTCGTTTTAGAGAACTTGTCTAAACGTTCATTGAGCGAAATTTCGGGTTGTGTTTTCTAAAAGTGACAGCGTGACAGTTCTCATTATTGACTACTAGTTAATAATAAAAAATTATTAACCACTTTGAACAAATGCCGAGAAAGCCTACTTTACAAGTGGAAAAAAGGTTAATAATCATGTCATCAGACGCTAGTAGTGAAAAAAGAACTTTATAATGCCATTGTCACAATCTGATTGTCTAACATGATCACTTTCACCAATAAAACAAACATTTCGGCTCACCTCACTTTCTGGAACTTCTGTTAGATTACTTGTATTGCTACCTACATTGTCATCACGACGTTGATCTCTGGATCCTCTGTGGTATCCCCTAGATTGGTATCCTCTGTGTGCGCCCCTATTTCCATGAAACCCTCTGTTCTGCTCCACCTTGCCCCTGTAGTTACCGCTGGTAAATTGTGCCGACCCTCGATTCCAGCTCCCTCTTTGTCCTGCATTATTGAAGCCACTCCTGCACTCTCTCTTAAAATGGCCACGTTGACCACACCTGAAACAGCCAGTTTGTGTGTTAAAAGCTGCTTGATTTGTTACAGGTTCAATATTCTTCCCCAACTTTGGTTTTTCTGCTTCGCTAAGCAATTTCCGCTTCACATTTTCATATGTTAACAATTCGGGTGACAAATTTTCAATTACAGTTACTACTGTTTCATAAGATTTTGGTAGAGTTAATAGTAAGTTGCAAACTAAGTCCTTTTCATCCACCCCCGCTCCTGTCGCCTTCAGCTTTCTTAAGACCTCTTCGAACTCCACGATAAACTTTTGTAGTGACTCATTTTCATTCACCTTCATTGACAGAAGCTTCCTTTTCAAAAATAATTGGCCGGGGAGTCCCTTCTTTTCGTGATTTTGCTCTAGTATTTTCTACATTCCATACGCTGTCTTATCCCTGAGGCTTTCTAGGTGACAATCCGAAACACACTGAATGATCAACGACTTCGCTCTAGAATCTAGTTTCACTTGCTTGATCTTTTCTTCTGAACTTAACTCCGCTAAATCGGTTTCCTCTTTAATGCATTCCAATACGCCCTTCTCTCCTAATAATATTTCCATTCGAAATTTCCAGTAAATGTAGTTATCCTCGGTTCATGTTTCAATGTTATAACTATTCTTCTTGTCCTTTTCCATACTTTCGATAGTGGTAATAACCTCTCTAACCTCCTTTTTCTCGCGCCTTCCTATGTTCCTTTTTATTTATAATTCTAGCATGCCTGGACACATAACCTGTTGTAATTTTAAATGTTCTTGGACTGCAAATAAATAAACACACGTACTATACATTTTACATATTTTATTTTAATACAAAAACACTCCATCTTCTCTTCCTTTTTTATCCATTGTTGCCAACTTAACTTTTTTTTCTTCCAAGATTTTAGGGATGCATTCAACATAAGAATCACAAATCATGGTTTTGGTTTGTAAAATTATAGGTTATGTTTTGTATTGGTACCTACCAGAGACATGGAGAGAGGAGATAGCGCATGAAACTGCGCGAAGTGACAAAACAAGGGGGCTGCCATTTTGACCCCCATTGAAGCGCGAAATTTGAACAGGACTATAAAGGTTTACTGACGCAACCCAGAGACATCTAACGCAATCTTCATACACTACACTCTATTCGGCAGCAGCTCCGTAGGAAGAAACTAATATCTCAATCAAATGAACAAAAGAAAATGCCAGTGACGTTGACGTTACAAAATAAACACTTAAACCTCGAAAAAAGCTCTCCTAAACACGAACACACGCTAAAATAACACCACTATAAACACAACATGACACAACGGGTGTAAAAATGGCAGCGCCCATGAGGTCGCACCCTTTCTTGGATGCGCACTCGTCGATCAGCGATCTCCTCTCTCCATGTCTCTGGTACCTACACATATACCTGGTTGCGGCAAATGATTACTAATGTGATATTTTATAAGAGCGGCGCAGCATATGATTATTGATCTCCCTGTATAGGGAATTAAAAATAAGATCGCAGCGCCGCGGTGGACAAATTGTAAAGCTCTGCAAGATATGTAAACTTTGCTAATCTTTGCTGTTTTGTATATATAAAGTGTGTATGTTTTGAATTTTTTGAAGTAATTATATACGAGTGGATCACGAAATAGCTTATTTGAAGTAAATTGATACAAGCGCAACTTCTGCCGTTCCGCGTAAGTAATGCATAAGTTCAATAATCTAACCTGACGTAAAATATTAACTTTCTAGGTTATGGAGAACAGATTCTCGATATGTGACTATCTACTGTATATAAAAGGGACAGATAATTCTAGAGTGGTGTATGAAGGGGAACATGTTCTTAATGCAGGACACATCATACTGTGTGGAGTAACAAACAAGGAGGAAAATCGTCTAACGTTGTATGCACTTTGTTTACAAACGAGTGCCTTACAAAGTGCACCACATAAAATCGAAGGGACTTTAGTGCATGATGACGAAAAGTGGGTTGTAGAAAAGTTTGCATGTTCTTGTAAAGCTGGGCAAAGTGGTCGATGCAAGCATATTTCAGCAGTTTTGCTACAATGTTCAAGGTTTTATTTAATCTATGCAGGTTAAACAGATGATATTTTGATATCCTTGTTGTAGGACTTCCCTCGATAAACTTGAAGCAGTTTCGCAAACTGATATTAAATGCACATGGTCTGCTCAGAAAGGCAAAACACAAGATAAATATAGAGCAATTCCTGTTAAAGAAATGCCGTGCATAAAGCAAAGTGATGGTATGAAATTGGACGAGGCAATTTTAATGGGCATACACGATAATTTGGTGTCTAAATTGCCAAATTCAGCATTGGCATTACACAAGTGAGCAATTTAATGTTACAATGTATATTATGTTAATGAACTTTGTAGGGCAGGACGACGTTGCACAAACCTTTCCACCTTTGAGAATGAAGAAGTGTTTACTCCATATGATGAGCATTTTAAATCACGCAACGCAATCAATTTTAATGATGGAATTGTATCATTTTCATGTAAATTTCATAGGTTCTTGTTGTAAAGAATTGTTCGATAAACACTTATTGAAAGATATTGACGAAATATTGCTTAAAACTAAACAGTCAAAAGAATTTTGGAATATTGAAAGAAAATTTAGGGTTACAGGTTCACGAATTTATGAACTATATACGTATAAATCAGATGATTGGCAAAAAAAAGCAAATCGTTATTTTAATCCAATAAGTTTCATGAATAAATTTACTAAGCATGGCATTGAGCAAAAACCAGTTGCCCGACAGATTTTTATGGATGCTACGGGCTTGAAAGTTGTAGAATGTGGATTGGTTGTTTCTCACTTTAATTCCTGGCTTGGTTATTCACCTGATGGAATAATTGTTGACCAAGACGGTAATCCAAAAGAATTAATCGAAATTAAATGCCCATTTGCAGGTATGTTGCAATTTATTATTAATCTAAAATAATTAAATGACTTGTTTTAGGTGCTACAGAGACCATAGGAAGTGTGGTACCTAAATTAAAATACTTGCAACTTGAAGACAATATTTATGAATTAAAAAAAAAACACAAATATTTTGCACAAGTGCAACTTGGGATGGCGATGCTAAATGTATTTAATTGCAAATTTATTATTTATTGTTCTTTTGATAAAAGCATGTTAATTCTAGATGTACCATATAATTACGATTTTTCAAAAACTTTATTGTTTAATGTTAAAGGAAAGTATTTTAAAAAAATGTTACATGTAATGTGTAATACATAAATTGTTATAAAAATATTATTTTAAAAATTTATCCTCTGCTAAAATTGGTGCTGACAAATTAGTAATTGCACAAATAATTATTATAATGTCATCAATGTAGTGTACAAGATTCCACTGAAGTTTCCCTCCTAGAATTTTAAAAATTTTGAGGCGTTGATTAGTGCGTTCAATGTGCACTCTGGCAGATGCTATTTCTTTAGTGAACATTGCTTCTCCTTCGTCAAATTGTGCTTTACCTCGAAGAAATGGTGGACGATACAGCTTAATCTCATACATTTTGCAAATGTCTTCAATTAAAAATCCCTTGTCAACCATAACTGCAGAACCTTTTTCTAATTTTTTGATTAATTCACTTCCTTGAAATAGTACATTATATATCAAGGTAGAGAAGTCCAGTATTATTGCCTGAGCACCAAGATTACATCTCGAGGCGCTTGCGCCGAGGGGTGTAAGGTGCGAAGGCAATAATAGACTTCTCTACCGTGGTATATATACTATTTTTTTCACTACTAGCACTTGAAATCCTCTAAATTAACATATTATATTGATAAGAGAGTTAACGGTTGGACAGAATTTTTGTTTATTAATTTAACATGTCAATCAAGTACGTGGAAGTACAAGTCAAACAGGCCGTATTTTGTTCTGTCATTGAGATTTTTCAAAGAGTAATTTCGTTCGAATTTTTCAAAATGTGATAATTTTAGGTATGTAATTTCTCTGGAAATTGCGAATGGTGGCAATTATTCGTTTTAGAGAACTTGTCTAAACGTTCATTGAGCGAAATTTCGGGTTGTGTTTTCTAAAAGTGACAGCGTGACAGTTCTCATTATTGACTACTAGTTAATAATAAAAAATTATTAACCACTTTGAACAAATGCCGAGAAAGCCTACTTTACAAGTGGAAAAAAGGTTAATAATCATGTCATCAGACGCTAGTAGTGAAAAAAATAATTTTATCCGATGCTCTCCCTCCATATGCTTTACTAACAAAAGTTACTAAACCTGCTGGAGAAACTCCTGTCATAAATTTTACTGTAAGTGCACCTTTATAGTGTGAATAGAACCGTATTCGGCAACATAAACATTTTGGCGTCTGAATAAATATCTCAGTACAGTCTAAGACGATTTGAGTGTCTTGGAACTTTTCAAAACAGATTGGCATGTTTTGTGAATTTTCTATTTTTGACGGAAATACGATCACTGATTTTAAAATGGTGGAAAGTAACTTTATCATTTCTATAAAATAAATTCTGCACAGGACACTACTTATTCCATATAAAACTCCTAGGATAGTATAACTCAAATCACATTTTAGTTTAGTAAATGTTAATGACACTCGATCCTTGACACATAGTTTATGTATTCGAACATCTTTATATATGATTGCAATAGACGCACAAATTTCATCCAACAAAATAAAACTATTCAGTCCGGTTAAACTTGTTAAAGCTTTTTCAGTTTGAATAAAGTGGGACAATGTCAACTTTGATGGTGTATTGACTTGAATTTGAAAGTCTCTGAAAGTTTTTGGTTCACTGTTTTGACTTTCAGTTTGTATTAATGTTAATAATGCATCAGCCGCTTGTAGTTCCTCAGTGGTGGGCACTGTGTCGATATTTTCATGACAATTGTCTTCAGTTACAGGATCGGTTGCCGGTATATCCCTTAATTCTTTCATTTGGTTTCGTATTGATAATCTTACTCCACGATTCGATGGTGCTAATTCCTGTACTGAACCATGAACAGGGTTAGGTAAACACATCGTAGGAATAACATTTTTTTTCAAATTCCTCCTTTGACGAACTAAAATACAAAATAAAATCATAACAGTTTCACACTTTTTCATTTACTTACTTGTAAAGAAATCATTTTCAGTAAAATGTAATGAACAAACTTTCATGAATTCACTAATGTTTTTTCCTATTCGAAGTTTAGTTTTCCAAATATATCTGCGATTTACGATTTCCCAAACGCCCAATTTTGTCTGAATTCGTACTGTGTCGTTGACGTTAGGAAATTTGTGGAAACTTATATCAGGGGTTCGCCGCTTCAAAGAGTTACACCCGGGTACACAGCAAAATGTATTCGCCATACCCACTACACTTGTTAATTAATTACTTAAATTTCTCAAAATTTTAACACAAGCAGATTAAACACGATAACAAAGCAAAATAAACGAAATTAAATCACCCTACCATACAAACGGTCTATAACCATTTGTTTGTTTACATATCTTAGGTACGTTTGAGCTAATGACAGTAGAGGTCGCTTTAATTATCTTAAATTCCCTATAAGATAACAAACAGATCGTGGATGGTTCTGCTTCCGCTTCCAAAGCAGACGAAACTGGCTGAAGTCAGACTCAGGAACACTAAATAGAAATAAAAGAAAGTAGGATAGGCAAAGTAGGCGAAGAAACCACCACCATATTTATTTATTCAGTAGTCAATATAAAGTTCTGAAGAGATAGATTAATTAGGGGTAGTGATAAAATTGGTTGTTTTGTATTTCACAGGACAACAAAATTAGGTGGTGCGAGAATTATACACACACAAAATTATACCTGACGCCAACATGAGTGCGTTTTTAAATAGCTCGAACAACGGATCGAGTACGCGATCAACTAAAAGAGCGTTTTTTAATGCAGTCGAACAGAAACGTTCCGCGTTTTTAAATTACTTATTTAGTTGAGTGTTGTGTTCGAGTTTGCATTTCAAGCACCAGGTCTGCAGGTGGTGCTTTAAAAGTCATAACCTAACATTTCGACAAAATGGCAGACGTAGTTCAGGTGTTTAATTGTTTTTATTGTAAATCAAAAAATTTAACGTGGACGGAAGTTGAAAAGCACCGATGTTTTGCTGGCAAATGTTTATTAAGCATAGGGGCAAACAATGTAATTTATTGTGATGAAGGTATGTTGACCTTTAAACATATTTTGTTTTTATTGGTTTGATTTAGATATCACTGCTGGTGGAGCACCTGACGAAGTTGTAACAGAAACACAAGAAGACTCGCAAGAAGATGCTTTGTGTGATAAGGAAAATGCAACTGTTTCGATGGAAAATGACAATGCAAAGTGGTTAGGGTTGCCACCTTTGAATTACCCACGACCTGGAGTAAAATGTGAAAGCAAAATTTTCAGTGTGGGATAGGAGCGTATAAGACTGATAAGATTCAAGTTTGTTTATTTATCATTATTTACATTTAACTTAAATCTATATTTATTATTGCCTTGACACGCATCCAGTAGTGCCTTTTGCTCTTTTTTTTCCAAAAATTCGGCAAATTGTTGACAAGACATACTAAAATTCAATTTTACACACAACTCTGCCTTAACTAACTCCACTCTCATTCTGTTTCTTTCATCTGTCCAGAGATTACCCATCAAAGAGAAGATTCTTTCAGGAAATGCGTTGCTCACAGGGATGGATAAAATTTTACCGACTATTTTCAGCAGATTGGGCAGATTGGATGTTTGAAAAATTTTACACCAGAGTTCATCGATTTCACTTCCACATATTTCAAGGTGTTGTAGTCCACTTTTGAGAATCACAATTTCATTATATAATGCGTCTTCATCGATGTTATTGATTTTTGCCGCTTTTTTAGCTTCCAGTATTTTATTATAGCTGATATTTCCTTTATTCTTTTTCAGATTCAGACAATCAAAATACTGGAAGGGACTATTTTGGAAATCATAATACTTATCCAAATAATCAAGGAGTTTCTTGTAAACCAAATTCGCCTCCTTCAAAAAAATCTGTTTCTGGTTCGCTGGGAGATATTTCAAAGCAGCTGACACTTTACTCCCAAAGAATTGATCATTTTGTCTTTGGATTATTTGTTCCTTCAGATCGGACATAATTTCATGCAGTTCGGTGCTGCTTAGTCTATTACTCTCCAGTTTAACTATATGCGTATTCAAAATATTCATATAGTGATGCACGAAATAAATGTAACACTCTGAAAGTGGAATTTCGGATCTTAAATCGTCTTCCAATTCATGCTCTTGGCTTTTAATGAATTTCCAGACATTTTTATCACAGTTGTCTTCACCAAGATCAAGAAAATATTTCTTGACGGCTGGCCAACATCGCAGAAGTCGATCAAGAGCCGAATATAGGGAGAGCCACCTTGTAGTTACATGTCTCAACATTTTTTGATAGTGAATTTCTAGATATTCAAAGCAGTCTTTCAAAGCTTCGCATTTCTTGGCACTATTGGAGAATTCTGCATAAATTTTTAAAGTCAAATTTTCAACATCATACGAAAGCGCTTTTGACGCATTTCTGCCTGCATTATGAATAACGTGGCAGTTGCAGTTAGCTTTTAATAATTCAGCATTTAGATCGAGTAACTTTGTAAACACTGAATTGTGAACACCATAATTTACTGACGCATTGTCCGCGCTGTAAGAACTAATGTCCGAAATTTTCAGGGAACATTTTTGCAGGCTTTTCACTATGCTGTTTGTTACTGATGCGGAAGATTCGTCATTATTTTCGACAAAATCCAATAATTTATTCTGGATTCCATTTTTAACGCTGAAGTACCTCACGGCAACCGGAAAAAGTTTTTGGTTTCCTTTATTAGATGCGTCACTTAGAACAGAAAATGGTGATGATGTGTCTGTATTGACCTGCATATCTTCCAAGACATCCTCAATACTTTTAGGAGCCAGGCAATTCTCGACAATGGCTTCAGCTTTTGTTCTACCGCAGTGTACTTTCTTCGCCAAAGCAGAATCTCGATAAAGCTTCGAATTTAATTTTATTGCACAATCCGTGCTTAGATAGCTGTGGTGATGATTGACACCATGATAAACCTGGGCAATTTCGATGATGGACACAGAGCTTTCTTCGGCGTTATTTTTTCTAGGTAAAAATGCAGTAATTAAATTATTTGTTGTACGGTTATTAATGGCAGCGAAATGTCCCTTACTTTTCAAGTGAGTTTTTACGGCTTTTTCGCCCTCATATTTTACGGTAAATTTTACAACGCAGGCATTACATTTTGCAGTAAGACTATCGACTTTCACCAGCCAATCTTTGTAGTCTTGATTTTGTGCCCAGGAATCTTGAAACGAAGAGGAATATTTTTGTTTTTTAGTAGGAGGTATCGCCACCGCAGACACTCTTGTTGATGTTTCACTTATACGTTCGGATATTGCTTCATTGGAATCGCTCAGTGTGCTGTCGCTGTCGCCCATGACGAAAAATCGTTTTTACGTTACAACCAAACCTAGTATATGAACTACAAACTGCTTAATTGCTTCCAAAGTATATAGAACACGCAGACTTACGTAATTTTGACCAAACTGCGTATTTTCCGTGTAACTGACTGCACCTGCACATTGGACACCAAACTGTGCACTGAGCAAACTTGTAGTCTGTAGAGCAAACCGGATGGGAGGCGCTTTGCTTTGGCGAATAGGCGATGCGCCTGTGACATGACATTGCGCGGCGTTTTCAAAAACAAACGTTTATTCTCCTGGAAATTTTCTTTTGTAACGCTCTATGACGTTCAACCTGGAGAAACTTAAGTGTAACCTGGAACCTGGAGACTTACTGCCGAATCCTGGTTACTCCAGGTGAAACCTGGAGGGGTGGCAACCCTAAAAGTGGTCTCACTCTGCAATATTAATGCTAATTGATGAATACCGAAAACATAAGAATGACTTAGAAAAAAAGAACTCCTTAAAACGACATATTTGGAAAAAGTGATTTAATTTTTTTATTATTTTTTTAATGTACTAATGTGCATTTTATTGCAGGATAGCTACCAATATAAATAATGAAGAGTCCAGTTCTTACACATGGGACCAGATACAAAATAAGTGGAAAAGTTTGTTACGTACATACAAAAATGTAAAAGACCACAATAATGAAACAGGCAGAGGGCGCAAAAATTGGCAGTACTTTGATCTTATGGATGAACTTCTGAAAGGGAATCCAACTGTTCAACCACCAGTAGTAATTAATAATGGCGAGATAACAGTGTGTAGTGGTAGTCAACCATCCATGTCAGCAGAAGATTCTCCTCGAAATACACGGTCCAACACTCCAGAGAGCAGTAACAGAAAAAGGAAGTCGTCATGTGATATGTCCGATTTATTAAACTCTATATTAAAGCAAAACAAACAACAACATGAAGAAGAGATGGTGGAGAAACGCCGTTTCAATACTCTCTTAGAAAAATTAGTAAATAATATTCTAAACAAGGAGCAAGAATAAATGTATATTAGTTCTTATATCTTAATATAACATTACACGTTTACAGTTTATTCATAATAGCAATGCGTTTATCATTACCCTTCCTAGTGTCTACATCCGAAAAACGATTACGTATCTGGCTTTTACCATCCTCGTTATCATCATTAATGATTTCTGGAACTTCCTCGCAACGTTGTGTGCAAAAATTGTGTAATATACATGCTGCCATAATCACATGTGGTATATAAAAAGGATTGTGTAATTCCAAATAATTTAATCTTCTCCACCTGGCTTTCAAGATACCAAAAGCTCTTTCAATTGGTGATCTAGTAGCAGCATGGCACACATTAAATTTTGTTTGTTTTTGGTTTAGGTGACCGTTATCTCGAAAAGGTGTCAAAAGCTGTGCATTTATTGGGTAGGCTGAATCACCCAATAAATGTGAACTTTGTGGGAAAAGTACATCATCGTTACATTTTACACGTACTGTAGAATGTTGAAAAACCCGGGCATCATGAACCGACCCCGGGTATCCCACAAAGCAGTCAGTAAATATACAATTATGGTCACATACGCCTTGTAATATCATAGATGGTCTGCCTTTTCTATTGATGTAAGTGGCAGAATTGTGCTTGGGTGGACATATATTAATATGGCACCCGTCTATAGCACCCAACACTCCAGGAAATGATTTTATTTTCTACAAAGAAAAAATGTTAATACTTCTAAGGTAGGGAAACTAAAAAAAATACCTTGAAACCAGCTATTGTTTTAATAGCATCATTTCCTTTTGGCCATTTTATAAATACAGAACCTTTGCTGTTCAGAATGTTACATACTCTTATTAGGCAGTGAAATATGGAGCTCTTTGAGACATTGAAGCGATCACCAATAGATCTGAAGCAATTAACGGATTACTATTTTTGTTATACAAGGTATTCACATAATACAAACCTATAGCTTTCTTGATTGGCTAAAACCCACACACAAATTAAACATTGTAAAGAAATAGGCACTTCTGGTCTACCAACAATCTTTTTGGAGGCCTTGCATAAACCACAAATGTTAATTAAGACAGCCATACTACTACGAGACATTCTGAAATGTGTGTGGAAATCTTCGTGTAAATATCGTAGTACTACGTCTTCATACATCTCAATTCTATTATGTGTAAGACGTCGTCTTCTTTTGTTGTAAATGGTGATTATTTGCAATAGAGTCTGAAACCGCTTTGATTTCCCTTAAAAATATGTATATGCTGCACAAAGACTTTCTTAACGCTTGGACTTACTGCTACAGTGAAACAAGGCGTGCCCACGGGCCAATACAAGATTGATCACATCGTTTTGCTCATTTATATCCATTATTAAACAATATCAAAATACTTCAACACCAATTTCAAAAGAGTGCGGTTTGAGGTTATAGCATAAACATAGACAAACTACTCTATGGGATATAGGTTACGTTAGTTGCACAAAGCGTCGTTTTTTAATGCGGGATTCGAACACACGCTCGACCAATGAATCATTCTGTTCAACTAAAAAGTGTTCGACCAGCAGGAACACTTTAAAAACGCACTCAAATGGGTGTGTTTTTAAATAGCTCGAACACCCGGCCGAGTACTCGAACAAAATAAAGAGCGTTTTTTAATGCGTTTGAACATAAAGTGCACCGTGTTTTAAAATCACAAATTTTGTTCGAACACAAGTTCGAGTTTGGATTTCACGCACCAGAGGCGTTTTCGGAAAATAAAACGGAGTAACCAGGTTTAAACCAGAGATGCAAAAACTGTTCTTTTAATAACCCCATATGATCATAATAAATGCTGATCATGTAGCAATTACCTTCACTATTAGCAAGTTGCTAAGGTTATTTCAAGTTACAGAATTGGACTGATCATTCTATGATTAAGCAATAAAATGAAAGGGAACAAATATTAATTATAAAAAGTGACCAACAAACAGGTGACTACAAGATAATTCGTCAAACTAGATATAAAGAACACTCCATTACAACCTTCAGTAGGTAGGTAAATGAATTATAACTTAACCTAAAGAAATCACACATACAATAAAAAAAACAAGGAATACAAATAATTTTTACAGATAAAAAACTATCCTAATCAAAGTTCAGTCAATGAATAATTAACTTAACATAATTTAAATAAAGAAATCCCATGTGACTGCATTGATTACACTGCAAATAATTTTTACATTTGGTGTCAAACCTAATTTAAACAAACCTTGTAAAGTCACTGCAGTGTATTCTTCCTTCTTGCAAATCGCTGTTGAGCAGCTCGAAACCAGTCAATGCCTGCATGCTCGATCACACCATCCTTTGCGTAAGGGAAAGAATCATGAACTGTTTCTATGGAATAAATATATGCCTTTATAAAATATAAATTTACAAGACCTTTTTCTCTTACCAATCAGAATTTTAATCAGTGCAAGGTTTTCAGTTCTATAATTTTGTTTTCGACCCTTCCAGGAACAAATTGTTGCCAGTTCAAAATCGAACATTTTAGAAAGCATTTTAAAAACAGAACTCCGCTCCGTAGATTCGACGAGGCGCTTCAAAATATGTTTCTTCAAAGAAATGGGACATTACCTACTTTTACTACAACTATTAGAGAAGCTTACCAATGCTGCCAATTGGGTCTCGTCTTTTAAAGTTTCTTCAAAATGTTCCAATTCTTCAACTGTTTTAAGGGGAAGTTCGATGGATAAAACTGGAATATCTTGTTGGAATGGTAAAATGTTTAATTTTTTTTCTATACCATTTAATTTATCTGTGTGACTTTGCAATAATAAATCACACTTTACCAATTGATCATTGATGCTTCGAAGTAAGTTGAACACTGTAAATAATACATGTGTACATATAGTTATTACTGGGAAAGCCATACCTGCTTGGTTCGATACCATACTATCTGCTGATGATGCGGGAGAGTCAACTTCGGCACTTGGATCTCTTCATGAGGCGGAATTATGACTACAGGTACATCCTCTAATGATATACCCGCCTCATCCAACTTATTCTGATTTGGAAGAGGTAATGGTGATAACGAATCTTGGTCCTCTTCGTAATGGAAATCACTGTCCCTTCTACTAGTGCAGAGTTCCCTTAGAGCCTTATTGTTTCTGTGTGTCACATTTTCTTCCACTTCAGATGAAGATTTATATTGCAATAATTTGGTTTCTTTTGCCTTGGCCTGTTCATAAGTATCTATATAATGTAAGCACAGAGTTGTATATTACATAAATGATTGAGAAAGTTTATTACCATAGTATCCCACGACCTGTACCGCTGTTACACTCCATAACTTATCGGGATTTCTTTTAAGCCGTAACGATTTTTGGTACTCCTTGCTTGTAGGATGGCTTAAGTAAGTTATAGTCTCCTTTTCATGAAGCCATTTTTTCAAAACAATTGTATATTGCTCTCCATCATCCGATACTGGTAAGTCATATACAATTGCATAACTATTTAACTAAAAAAATAAATTACATAAATGGATAAACATTGCTGGGTATTACATTTTTTAACTTTACATCTGGTGCAACAAAGGTAACACTTGAAAAAAATTTCCATCATGAGAAGGAACTTTAATGCACTTGCAAGCCACATCTTTATACGAAAATGTTTCTTCTACATCTAACATATAATTACATTCAATTGTACGTATCTTTAAGATACTAGGATACAGGTTGTCAATTTCAGAATTTTTTATTTTTCGTCCCTTGATCACTGTTGAACTTATAATATTAGTGATTTGCAGTATTTCATTGGATCTCAATAACACACAATTGTTTCTTAAACTAGTATCCAGTTGTATATCTTTCTCCATAAACAGGATATCGTTTTTTTCAGAATGCAATAGATATGGGTAAATAATTTTTGTTACAGGTGTGAAATTTTGTCTTTGTTCAAATACCCTATTGGAAATCTGTTGTAAGGGTTTACCAGAAATTTTCATTACGTTTTTAATTTCATGCAAATAATTCTCAAATGGAAAGGCGCTGAAATGATCCACACAACCAAATTTCTTTACATCGTCTACTAAATGGATAAGATTATGCACATTATATGTAATGTGTTCTTCACCAAAAAAATGTTTATAATTTTCTACGAAAAAAATTAGTAAGCTTTGTGGATAATCATAATCCTGGTGTGCCATTTTTGGTGATGCCAAGATTCGCATGGCAATATGCAAAGCCATAAAGTGTTTCAGCTGTGATTTTCTTAAATAAGGCTTTAAAATGGATGTTCCAGTGTACAACAGAAAAAAACGCAGTTCAGTAGCTTTCCAAAAATCAAGCTCTTGTAATGACCTAGGTAGCCTTGAAAACTCCACTGGAACATATTGTTTTATAGATTCAATATGTACGTCTATTAAACTCAATTCGGCCTGTTTAAGGCGTACATTAAAAAAGGTCCATATACGTAAAATTTAAGTACCCGTTTTAAAACGCCAATACAAACAAGATGCATATAATCTAAACCCACTTGTGTCACTAATCCAATATGTAACTCTTTTAATATAGTATCTCCCTTATGATAATCTTCATCCACCTTATTTTCAAATTCTTGGTCTGTACGTAGCTTCGCATCTACACACTGATATGTCATACGATTCTTAATAAAACTGCCTTCCACGTGGCATTTATTGCAACCAAAATATGCGTTGTGCCCTTTCACATTTAATATCAGTGCTTTTGCAGGTGCATCACAAATAATTATACTAACTGCAATTGTAGCCTTTATATCTCCCTCTGAAATTCCAGTTTCCTTCAACAACTTCATTTCTTTCACAAAATATTGTAAAAAGAGGTTACAGGACTCTGGTTTCTTTTTCCCGCAATAAACTCCTATTATAGGTTCATTAAATTCAACATTTATAATCGACACCAAAATTGCACTGTGGAGCTTTTACTTAATGGCAATCCATCTATATTTAATTTTAATTGTAAGTCCATATTAAGTACAGATACACCATGCCTTTTAAGTGTGTGTAAGATACCCGATTTAACACCAAAATGCACGTATTTACCAGGAGGAACATCTTCAAATTTGAAAAATCCTGGTCTTGGTGTCCGCAGCAATGTTCGACCATCATTTGGTAATTCAGGAATGCGAGGCTTTAAAATTGCTAAAAGTTTATTTACAGCAGATTGGGAAATGTGGTTTTCGATAGCCCAAATAGCAAGTTGTTGTTTTGTGGAGGTCTCGGTTGATCTACCAGTATGCACATTAATAATTGCATTTGTTTCGACATTTTGATCCCTATTATCAACTGCACCAGTCATGGTTATTGTGTGGTAGCCAGAAGTTGAAGGGATTGTTGGGGGGTCCACTTGCATAACAGAACATGATGCAATTGGAGAAGTTTGAACGTCAGTAGGTATTGCCTCCATAATATTACCCACTGCGCAGTTGGTTTCTATTAATTTAACATTAGAAGAGAAATTTTTTTCTAGACAATCTTTTTTCATGTTTTGTACGATACGCCTAAAGTGTCGTTTGGTTATGTTTCCCAAAGGCTTTCGCTTTACACCCTAGAATAAATCACAGTCTAGAATGAATCATAAAATTGGAAATTTAATCTGAAAATTTGTATATTTCATATCTAAATTTTTTCTAATTTTCTCTTTATTCATAGCGGCTTTCATCAGAAACTATTTGCAGCATTTTACAAAAAAAATCAAGATAAAAATTTGTATTTAGGCTTTATTTTATATTAAAAACACTTTTCTTTAATAAAATTTTTCCCTAAAATAATAAATACGCGAACTTGTCTCTTGAGAGGTTTTCATGTTTCCTTAATTTACGAACACCCTGTACGTTCAATCCAAAATCTTTGAACATCAATCTTATTCTTAAAACAAGAAAAACTTTGTATAGGTAATGAATAACTTTTTGTCGTAAAATCAATAATAAATATTTTTTTCCTGTTGTCAAGTCAATCCGGGGACATACTGTATGTAACACCCTGTACATGAAGTTTCATTTACATACCTTCATTAATAAGAAATTCGGCGTTGTGCATGCACACATCCAAATTTTCAAGGTTGTATTACGTTTTCTTTTATTTGAAGTGCAGACATTCAAAATTTCATTTAAATATCTTCATAAATAAGAGAGGCATTGCGCTAAATGTGCCATCTACAAAATCAATATGAGCGTTTACGCATTTAGTTATAAAACCTAACAGAAAAAATTAGTACAATAGGATATCCGCATTAAAACCAGAAAGCTTCAAAAATGGGCTTGACAGGCAAACGATTTGTTTAAAAATTGATAGGGTTCTTCTCATGAGGTAGAAATTATGGGTATGTCAAATTTGGTTTAGATCTGACTTACTGTCTGTCTTGTAGTGTTTACAAACAGACAGACAGACAAACATGACAAAAAATCAATACCATATTCTGTCAACTATGTTGTAAGCTGCCTTGTAAAAAAATGACAATTATAATACCCATACAGAGTCCCAACCAAAATTTGCACCCTTCTAAAACACTACACGACAAGCCCTATAATTAGCTTAATTTATTTCTCGGTATAAGTAATCGAACGATTGAAGAAATGGAAATACTGTTGTGGAAGTAGGTAATGAAAACTTCTTCCAAATTATACCAGTCATTTATTAGTACCCCTAGCAGGATTAAAGTTGTAAGAATTTATTATTGTAGAGAAATTGGTTCCTCTCCCCTCCATTATAAAATTGACCCCGTTTTAGATCTTCGTCAAAACATTTATTGCACAGTGTTTTAGGAAAGTGGAAATTTAACCTACATCAAGTTAGCAATAGATTCCAGCAATAGACCTTATTTCATATAAAATAATAAAATAAAGTTTGAAGTCACCTCAAATGGACTTGCACACATGAAGTTAAAAGTTTTTATTAAAAAAATTTTTATTAATAATATTAGGGGTTGAAAGGGGGTTAAAAAATAAGGGTAACTTTGTTGGTACAGGTTTTTTTCCCATTTTTTAAAAAGTACAATAAACTTAAAGTGCAAGCACTATAATTGTCAAAATTTCAAAATGTAACCCCGCGCCGTTTTGGAAATAATTAATTTTTTCGGTTTTTTGCGGTTATTTATTGCTAGGGGTGTAATTTGTGTGGTGCATCAAATATTTTTGTTTTCAGTTATGATTTTTATTATATGGTCTAATAGTAGTCTAATGCCCAAAAATAAAAATGTAACCCCGCGCCGTTTTGGAAATAATTAATTTTTTCTGTTTTTTGCGGTCATCTATTGCTAGGGGTGTAACTAATGTGGTGCATCCAATATTTTTGTTTTCAGTTATGATTTTTATTATATGGTCTAATAGTAGTCTAATGTCCAAAAATAAAAATGTAACCCCACGCCGTTTTGGAAATATTTAATTTTTTCTATTTTTTGCGATCATCTACTGCTAGCTAGGAGTGTAACTTGTTTGGTGCATTTGTTGCATTGATTATCTCGTATATTAAAAGGCCATGTCAACGTTTAGGAGACTTAGACGGAATATAGAAGTATTGATGCGAATCTATTAATTATATTGATCAGTGCATATATGTTTCAATAATTTTGCCCGGCGTCTAGGTGCGGAACTGTATAAGCGATTAATTTCATTGCAATTGTAAATATACGTAACAGTGACATAATTTTAACTTGAATTACTATACCTACCTATTTTGCTGTACACAAAAATAAATCACGCTAATAGCTTGTCTGCCGTCTCGTTTTCCATCTCGAATTACTAGACTCAAACTACTAATAAAAAATTTATTAATTTGCAAATTTAGAAAAAGGAAATGGAATAAGAGCGCTTCTTGTTAGATTGTACACAATTACTGATAAGATCAAGTTACTCGTATTAGGGAATAAAAATATTTTGCTACGTAGCATTTTATTCATCGTAAAGTGTTCTGTTTTATGCGGTAAACGTGTTTCATTGTTAATAAAGTCATACATAGATCCTTTTCATACATAGAAAATGTTCGTAAACTTTGTGGTTTTTGATGATGAAGAATTGATAAATGGATCCCTTAGTAAAAGTTCCATCGGCAAAATAAAATCATATTCACTTACGCCTGTGTCACTTGTTCCTTCATCAGGTTGTATTATTCTGGTGTTAAATGGTTTTGAAACTCGTGCTTGTGTGAATTATGGCGCCATTATGTCTGGACGTTCTAACTTTGGCAATTTTCTTAAAAAAACGTGATATTAACCGTTATCAAATTTATCGTTTGAAAAGTGCATCGCCGATCGTTAGACATGTATGTGAATTATTTAACTTGGACTTTAACGACAAGGTAAATTTAATAAACGTTGTCAACTTTATAAAAAGACATTGTTCACAATTAGAAAAACTGATGAAAGTGCAAAGTAGCAGTTCTATTACAAATGATTGCAGTGAACATCAATACATTACAAACATTAAAAATGACAATTGTAAATCTGTAGAAAATAGTTCCCTCGATAGTGCCTTATTTGATTTAAATATAAGTGCTGTAACTATAGATAACAACTGGCCCCAATCTACCTCTGCCATTTCTGTGAATAGTGGAATATTTGATGAAATCGATTCTATTGATAAAGACTCTCAAGTGCGTGACAAATCAGCATCATTGGAGAACCTCGCAGAAAACTCTCCGCTGAACAATTTTAGATGTCACGGAATTAGATCCTACTGATCATTATATGGAAGGAGTTTACCAGCGTAACAATACTGTAAACAAAAACGCAGTACCATTAAATTCTACTAATGTTTATCCTGTAGATTTATGTGAAAACAAAAATTTTGTTATTCCCGAAGGAAATTTTCAGTTGTATAAACACGAAACAGTTGAAGTTTTTAACAAATTAACTGGAAAGTTTAAAAAAGACAACGTTCATATATTTTTAATTAAAGAAAGGTTTAAACTAGTAAATAACATTTGCATTTTGAATTTTAAAAACACCAACTATTTAAGAAATGACTCTATTGTGATATACGGATACTGCGCTCATATAACCTGCAAACATTTTAAATTGTTGTGTACGTGGTCTGAAAATGAAGAACTGAATATCACCGTTTATAGCACGTCTTTCAATTTTTCTCATCAACATAATCTAACCGGACATGTTCGCGGAGTTGAAAGGCAAATACTGGGAAGAAGACTATTAACTTCAACAGCTATCAAAATTCGAGGAGAAGATATTAAATCGTCGCACAATTTATTGATGAAAACGAAAAACCTAAACAGAATAAAATCAGAAAGTGTATATCGGCAAGTAAAATATGAAACCCTTTCGGCAAATGATCGCAGTAGAGACGACATTATAGACCTTATTTACTTTGCTAGAGCTAATCCACATTATGTGTTTTCCGTATCACAACCATTGAATGTGCATGTTTTCAGCAAGGAGCAATTAAACTTGTTGAAAAATGATAAGTTTCGAGAGATCCATATTGACGCTACAGGATCAGTAGTAAGGAAGCCATTGTATGGATACAAACGAATTTATTATTATGCTGGAGTAATACGCACTGCCCACAACCGGGTTATTCCTGTAATGGAAATGGTAACCTGTTCACATCATACCGCTTCTATCGGGTCATGGTTGATACAGTTTAAATACTATGCCATAAGAAATAACATCAAATGGCCCGCATTTAAAACCGTCACAATCGATTTTAGCATGGCAATAATCAACGGAACCTCAGAAGCCTGGAACAATATATCGTTAAGCAGTTATTGTAACACTTTTTTTGAAAAAATTAATGATTCCTCGTTGCCGGTAGACCACTTTGTTATTATTAAACTATGTTGTGCTCATCTCTTTAAGTTAATGGCTAGAGACATCAATTAAATATTCATGTGATTGACAAAGTAGCTAATCGTGTATTAAAACAACTGTTTGCTTCGCTATATGACGAAGAAAATTTTGAAAAAATTTGTGCTACAATAGAAACTATAATCATTTTAACTGTACTGGAATATGAAAATAATTATGTTTCAATTGCTTTAAATAATGCATTGAAGCGTTCCGATCAGTCTTCATTGGAGGACCAACAAGACGATCAAATTACTGATCAACATCGTCACCAAAAAGCATCTACATTTTACGAAAATAGTCGTTTTTATCAATATTTTGATCATTTAAAAACAGAAATTTTAGCTGTTGCACAATTGCATAAATTTAGTTCTACCAAAAATCCGTATTACAGTGAAGAGTTATTACAAATTTTATTGAAACATTACATCCCATACTTACCGCTTTGGACCAACATTCATACGGGAACACGGTCATCTAATGCTATTGTAGAAAACTGGTTTGGGTTGTTAAAAAATAACATTTTAGAAAATAAAGTAAATCTTAAATGTTCGCGATTTTTACGTGCTGTAAGAAAATATTTACTTAGTGTTTATAGAGAAGATAAATACCATACCTATAGAAAATCGGAAATGTGCAACAAAAAGAAAAAACAATCATACTTTAAATCCAGAAGAACAGTGGAACAAAAGACGTAAGAAAACTCACAGCTACTTCCGGCAACAGACAGTACATCAAATGAGCAAAATTTTAACGAAGCAAACAACTAAACAACCGGAGATGAGCAAAATTTTGAAGAAGCTAACAACTAAGCAATCAGAGATGACATCGAATCAAGAATACAACAATGATTATTACAAAAAAGTGAATCCGTGTGATGTGCAGTTGTTTGATTACGGAGTGAATTATGTAGTGTCCATGCATAAAAATGAAAAACTTTACTACGAAAGTTACAAAACTTTAGACGATCACATAAATAGGTTAGATATGTGGCTAGATAATTTCTTAGTAGATTATTGCTTAACCATATTAGGTGAACGGGACAATGCCAAAGCTATTATGACTTACCAGGTACAGGAAATAATAACTACAAACCGAAGTGTAGACATAGGGCATATTAGCACTGAAACAAAGTTATTATTTCCTGTATTTCATTCAACTAATAATATGAACAATGGGCATTGGATGCTGATATTAGTAGACCTCACAACAAAAACATTAATTTTTTATGATCCGTCTCATTTAAAATACAGACATAGTAGTATTCGTTGCAATGCAATAAAACAATTTAAAAAAACAATTTAAACGTGGAAGTGAAAATAATAAACAACATAGATTATCCAGAACAAAATGATAATTTTAATTGTGGGGTGTACATAATTTACTATGAAGAATGTTTTATAAAAAATTACAAAATGGATCGTCATTTTAATCCCGCTGCGTATAGACATTATTTAAAAAAACTGATACTTTCGTCGTCTGTTAAAATTAATATGTTATGTTTGTACTGTGCTGGTGAAAACGGTGAAATTATGTGTACACAATGTAATAGGAATGATCATCAAATATGCGCTAACATCACAATGGAAAATAGTCAAAATTATATTTGTAAAAAATGTAAAACTTAAGACACTCTTGTAAATATAATAGACATCACCATTGTAGTCCCGTTTCGGAACGCAACATAGAGATTTCGCATGTTAAATTTAAAGTTTTTATCTATTGTACAATAACAAAAAAAAAGCTTTAAAAATGCAGAAACTAATTTTTAATATTTCACCCTAAACAAATTTTTAGAATGGTACAAATTTACTTAAAAGTATTTAAAATAAAACTAGAATTTCTAACCAAAACGTATATGATGATAACTTGATATGGTACTGCAATTTTCTTTTGATTGTTTATGCTTACTGACACTTTCTATGATAGAGAAATTTTATATTTAAACATGCTAAATCTTTATGTTGCGTTTTAAAACGGAACATACATTCAAGGTAACTAAAAGCTATAAGTACCAAAAAAAGTAAACTTTTTATATATTATGTTTTTAGCAATATAAATATATAAATTCGTTTGTTACAATTAATTTCGTTCTCCAACACAATTTGTAATTATTCTTTGCCAGGCTGCTAGTGGATTACATTATTACTGTTGAATAAAAACACTACCAATAATTATCGCAACAACACGAGTAACATTAGTTACACCCCCAACAATAAATAACCGCAAAAAACCGAAAAAATCAATTATTTCCAAAACGGCGCGGGGTTACATTTTTATTTTTGGACATTAGACTACTATTAGACCATATAAAAAATCATAACTGAAAACAAAAATCTTTGATGCACCACACAAATTACACCCCTAGCAATAGATGACCGCAAAAAACAGAAAAAATTAATTATTTCCAAAACGGCGCGGGGTTACATTTTTATTTTTGGACATTAGACTACTATTAGACCATATAATAAAAATCATAACTGAAAACAAAAATATTTGATGCACCACACAAATTACACCCCTCGCAATAAATAACCGCAAAAAACCGAAAAAATCAATTATTTCCAAAACGGCGCGGGGTTACATTTTTATTTTTGGACATTAGACTACTATTAGACCATATAAAAAATCATAACTGAAAACAAAAATATTTGATGCACCACACAAATTACACCCCTAGCAATAGATGACCGCAAAAAACAGAAAAAATTAATTATTTCCAAAACGGCGCGGGGTTACATTTTTATTTTTGGACATTAGACTACTATTAGAAAAATCATAACTGAAAACAAAAATATTTGATGCACCACACAAATTACACCCCTAGCAATAAATAACCGGAAAAAATTAATTATTTCCAAAACGGCGCGGGGTTACATTTTTATTTTTGGGCATTAGACTACTATTAGACCATATAATAATAATTATAACTGAAAACAAAAATATTTGATGCACCACACAAATTACACCCCTAGCAATAGATGACCGCAAAAAACAGAAAAAATTAATTATTTCCAAAACGGCGCGGGGTTACATTTTTATTTTTGGACATTAGACTACTATTAGACCATATAATAAAAATCATAACTGAAAACAAAAATATTTGATGCACCACACAAATTACACCCCTAGCAATAAATAACCGCAAAAAACAGAAAAAATTAATTATTTCCAAAACGGCGCGGGGTTACATTTTTATTTTTGGACATTAGACTACTATTAGACCATATAATAAAAATCATAACTGAAAACAAAAATATTTGATGCACCACACAAATTACACCCCTCGCAATAAATAACCGCAAAAAAACCGAAAAAATCAATTATTTCCAAAACGGCGCGGGGTTACATTTTGAAATTTTGACAATTATAGTGCTTGCACTTTAAGTTTATTGTACTTTTTAAAAAATGGGAAAAAAACCTGTACCAACAAAGTTACCCTTATTTTTTAACCCCCTTTCAACCCCTAATATTATTAATAAAAAATTTTTTTATAAAAACTTTTAACTTCATGTGTGCAAGTCCATTTGAGGTGACTTCAAACTTTATTTTATTATTTTATATGAAATAAGGTCTATTGCTGGAATCTATTGCTAACTTGATGTAGGTGAAATTTAATGGTTACTCTTTTCATAGTTTCATTTGGGTGTAGCCGAGGGTGTAGCTTTCTCAATACGCATAATTATGCTGCAAATTGCATCAAGGTTAGGGTAGAGGTATAGCTATTATATCTATCTTTCAGCAATTATACCGCTGATGGTAATACGACTAATACGTATATCGTTCGTTTACTTAAGGTAAGAGCGCTATAGTTGAAGTTTTTATAAAGCAACGATTCAAACTTGGTGGTTGTAAGTTCTGGAATAATTCCAGTTAAATACAAAAGCAAGTACAAATGAAAATAAGCTACACACCCACTGCACCCACCGACCTTATTTTTATGTCATAATTCAAAAATGGCAATAATAAAAACATACTTACCGACATGATATTATAATATACAATGAAGTATGCACTGCCCAAGTTGAAACAAATTCAAAAATAGTTCACTTTTACTAAAAAAAAAACGTCGTGCACCGCTTGTAAACAAATTGCAAACGGAAATGATTCATCAAGTTCAAGTCGATGCAAACCGGTCGCACTTGCCACTCTCCGCATGTCACTGACTATCACGTGATGGTTTGTCGTTCCCGATTGTGAAAACAGGTGTTACATATTTTGGGCATAAATTTTGCGTCTATGAGACGTAACTGTTTTGTTCGATCACGCACAGAAAAATCGTATAAGTTATGAATCAATTGTGTTTTGTTCACCTCTATTATGTGCAACATGTACGTAAATGAAACATTTTACAATAAATAAGTAATTTGCAACAAACGCGTATCTAATAAACGTTAACGCCTTACGTGTAGGGTACGCAACAAACATGTACCATTAAATGTAGCCGATGCATATATTGAATGAATCCAGTTACACTCTTTTTGGGTATTTTTTATGAAACATATTTCAGGGTAAATTTTTATGTTTTACCTAATGCATTTTAAACGTAATCAATGCGCAACATTCAAACGTACCAATGTAGACATGTTTGCGACAAAATGGTACGTAACAAATACGTTCTGTGTTTGCTGGGTGAGTAAGGTTAATGAGGTTACTTTAAATTAGTGCGGTTATGTTTATATTTGGATGTGTTAAGGCGGTTGCACATCAAACGTAAACGAAATCATAAACGTAACCACAATTCGTAAAATTTGTGTGTGTTCACATCGAAGGTAATCCTGAAATACGCGGCAAAGAAGAAATGGCTAAAAATGATTATGCATTTTGCTTAACATTGCTATTGTACACTCGTAATCGAAATAAAACAACTCTGGGTAATGGAGTTAAGAAAAGACGATGGTGGGTGCGACCCTTAAATCAGAATAGACAATTGGATGGAGAATACTGAGGCTTTTTTTGGAAATGAAAATGTATGATCGTGAATGGTTTTTTACTTATACTCGAATGTCTTCCTTTCGCTTTGATCATTTGAGGAGCAGACTTGCAAAACGCAGTTTGTCCAAATTTTAAATTTTTCAACTGAAGGTGGCGTTGCAATATACACTTGAATCTCTATCGTTTCATATAATATTGGATGTCCAAATCGCATTAGGCATTTACGTTAATTGCACCGGTAAATACCGGTTTGTACCGAGCGCGTTCTACAATTCATTTCCATCTACCTACCATCGTTCTTTAATGTACCGAACTTTACGGTGTTTATGAACCTGGTGCACCACAAGTGGACCGGTGAATGTTATCGGTTAGAGAGGTGTGGTGCTGTTTTATAACCTCAAACTCCTATAAAATAAAATTATTTCGTTAAGCAACACATAATTAATTTGAAGTATGTGTTCTTTAAACAATTTCCAAGCTGTTGTGGATGAAAGCAACAATGTCATATTTAAGGACAATCAGATTCTTGTGTACAATCCAACAGGTAAGTACCTAATAGGAATATTTTGTGTATTTTTAAGTTATATTTCACCCTAATTACAAATTGATACATGTTTTGCTCCCAATTCAGATGACTGCACATTATATATACCTAATAATGAAGAGACGAGAGCAGCGTTAAACCTGCGAGAAACTACTGAAGATAATGAAGAGAATTTAACGGTTACCGCGGATGATACAGATCAACATGAAGGTATTTTTGCCTCCTTTTATGACACATTGCACTCATAGGTTCTATTAATTTAATACCCACTAAATTTATGCCATAAAAATACTAAGTACCTGGTTATTTATCCACCATGTTTAATGTACCAAATACTGTAGCGCAGTAATTTTTTGCTTTTTAACAAATTAGTCGCGCGAGTGCAAGGTGTCCTAAACTGAAATATAATTCTGCATTGTAATTGCTGCATTATTGATATACATATTGTTGCAGAAACACAACGATGGACCCATGAAAGCACTCTGCTTTTATTGTCTTTATATGAAGATCATATTGGTTCTTTTAAATCGCCAAAGAAAACTAATAAATCAGTTTGGCTTCGAATAGCCAACGAGATGTCAAAGCGAGGGTATTTATTTACAGGAGATCAATGCGATTTAAAATTTAGGAACCTAAAAAAGACCTATAAAAGAATAAAGGATAATAATAAGTCATCAGGAAGAGGGGCAATTGTGTGGCCTTATATGGACATGTTTGAAAGAGTATTTGGGAGTGCACCTGACATAAATCCCAAGGCAACTGTGTCAACATTTGCCACATCATTAAATACTTTAAAATCAGCAAACCTTTCAACAGATAACCATTCAGTTGTATCATTACCTTATCTCTCACCTTCCACAAGTTCGGTAGGATCACCTGGTTCTTCTACGCAAGTAGAAAATAGCAATGAAAGCGAGGTAAGTTAATATTATAACACAATTATAGGTTTTAATAATTTTATGCATGGTACTTCAGTGTCCTGAACCTGTTCGTAATAAACGTCGAAAAATGTCAAATGAAGAACCTGCGTGGGTATCGACTCTAAGAAAAGAGGCCAAGGAACGTCATGATGAAAAAATGACAATGTTACGGGAGTTAATAGGACTTCTTAAAAAAGAATAAAAATATTTGATTTTATTAAAATGAAGTTGTGAATTTTACAACTAAACTTAATGTATTTGTTAATTAATTCATTAATAAATCAGCAATATATTCCCTTTTGCCCACTTTTCTAAAATCTTCATCTCCATTATTATAATAATCATCTTTATCTTCAAAGGTATCAACATCAATTTCATCATTGTTTTTCATACATATATTGTGCAACACACAACATGCCAAGATTAAATCAGGGATAAGTTCTACATTGTACATATGAACATGTTTTAAAATTCGAAACCGCCCTTTCAATAAACCAAAAGTTTGTTCCACGTACACTCGTGTACTAGAATGTTTGAAGTTGTAATTTTTTTGTTTTCTGCTCAAATGGCCGTTGTCACGATATGGTGTTAATAAGTAATTAGAGCACTTATATGCAGAATCTCCTAAGATATGTGTATTGTTGGGAAACAATTCACCAGGATTTTCTCTCATTTTTGTACCTAATGGAGAATTGTAGAAAACTCTTGCGTCATGGACGCTGCCTGGAAAACCTGTTAATATATGAAATTATAAATATCCGTATAATAACAGTAATAAAACTCACCTGCAAAAACATCGAGAAACATGTAGTTTGCATCACAAACGCCTTGTAATATTATACTGTGTTGGCCCTTTCGATTACAATAAGAACCTTGGACATTTCTAGGGGGTGTAATTAAAATGTGACACCCATCTATGGCGCCAATAACTCCTGGAAAGTTCTGACGCTCTTTAAATTTCTCACTTATATTATTTGCTGTAGCACCTGTTGGCCATGAAATATAAATGGAGGACACCTCTTTTAAAGCTTCTGTTACTTTCCGAACATATAACCACGCTGTTGATTTAGAGATGTCAAATTTGTCAGATAATAGTCTGTAAATATTATACGAATTTTTATTCACGTTTAATTTACTAACCTGTACACTGTTTGGTTTGAAAACATGGTTAGCGATACTAGGAGTTGCAAATCAGGCGAATGGCAATGCCGTCCTATCCCTTGTACATTACGTTCTTTTAGAGATGGCCCCAAAACTTGCACCAAATTTTCAAAAGTAATTCTACTTATTCTAAAGTGGCTTTTGAAATCTATAAGTTTGAAATGGAATAATAAATTCTACACGTTGCTAATACATACCATCAAAACTGTAAGCGCGCACTATATTTTCTACATAGTTTCTAATACACACACGAGATTTACGTTCAATCGAGTTATAACTACTACAAACTATTGCAATTAACTCATCATCACTATCATCATCTAAAACTTCATTAAGTACTCCAATAATTACGTTTCTTTTCAAGTTATCCATTTTGTAGAGGTTATGGATTTGAAAACATTTAAATCAGCTGCTGCCTTTGCGTTCGGCAAATATATGGTAAACGGTATGCAGTGGTGCAATCAGCTGGTTACCGCATTGCACCAGAAATTATCTACCGGTATAATTATCGTAAATGCCTATTATGTCCCACTTGAAATGTGTTGTGAAATTCACTTGGACATGCAAAATGCATTTAGTCCATCGACATTAGACAAACAAATAGCATTTTGTCCGTGAGACGAACAAAACGCATTCAGTCCAGCCGTAAACACGCTGTTTTTATAACAGTTAGGTTACTGCTCTTAGTGTCGTTTCGGTTTATTTTGCAGTATTGTGTGTTTAGTTTGCATCTTTTTCGCAACGTTTCAATTACAATGGAATCTGCAGATGGGGAGCATATTGTTGGTGATTGTGACCGTGGTAGCCGGAAACGACAAGCAAATTTAACATCCAGGGAGAGAAAGAAGCAAGTCAGATATTCAAACCATGATCCTGATTTACAACAATTTAATATAGTTTGTAATCATAAGAATAATCCAAAACTGCAGTGTGGGCAAGTAGGGCGAGATGATATACTTAAACTTCGGGAAGTTTTTTACAAAAATCCCAATAAAGTTATTCAAGATGGAATATTAGCCAGTAACATTGAGTTGGATATCCCTAAACGAAAAAGAGCTCGCAAATCTGATGGAAAACCGCACTCCTTGTCTGCAAAATATCATGTAAGTATAAAAGTACATACGTCGTTTTTGATAAAAGACTCCATGTTTTGAGTCTTACATACGTCGTGTTTCATCAACAATTTGGTGCAACCATTTTTTATGTTGGAAAGAATATTAAAGTTCTCGAGCTTTTGTTGATCTTTTACTGCTTTTTTCACTTAGTAGGTGTGTTATATTCGAATTTTTACAGGTATATATCAGTCGACAAAAAGTACAAATTTGTCAAAAGTTTGTAATGGCTGTATACAACGTTTGTCAAAGGAGACTAAACACAATTTGCAAGAAACTCCAGGCTGGGGAGGAAATTATAAAAGAAAAAAGAGGAGGCGATAGACGAGCTTTTAAGTTTGTAGACAAATTGGATGCTGTAAAGTCGTTCATTAGTCAATTACAAGGAAAAGAGAGCCACTATGGAAGACAGAAGTCTCGACGGATCTACATATCTTCGGAGTACAACATTTCTATTCTTTGGCAGTTATATAACAAAAACTCACCAGAAGGTTTAAAAGTGAATTACAAGTACTTCAGTCGGGTGTTCAGTAAATATTTCAATATTGGATTCGGCAGTCCTGCTACTGATGTTTGTAGCTATTGTGTAAGAACACAAACCAAAATAAGTATGTCTCAAAGCTCTTCTGAAAAGCAGAAAATATCCACTGAACTGAAAGTACACAAATTTCGTGCCACACAATTCCATAAGTTAATGAAAACTGAAGTGCCTAATACAGTTTCGTACTGCTTCGACTTACAGCAAGTTCAGGTATTGCCAAAAGTACCTATTCAAGAGGCATTTTACGCTCAACAGCTGTCAATATATTTTTTTTGCGTTACCAAACTCAATTGTCAAGAACCAATATTTTACACGTGGATGGAACACCAAGCAGGAAGGGGGGCTACTGAGACATCATCTGCCATTATTGATTTTTTAAAAAGAACTGAATTTCCTGAAGATGCGACGAAGATCCGTTTTTTTGCCGACGGCTGTGGGGGGCAAAACAAAAATAGTCACGTCATACATGCTTTGATGTTTTGGCTCCATACGTCAGGCGAAAAAATAAAGGAAATAGAAATTATATTTCCGATCAGAGGTCACTCTTATCTTCCTGCCGATCGAATCTTTGGACGCATCGAAAAAATATTAAGGTCCCACAGTCTCATAAAAACTCCAGACGCATATTGGGAATTGTACACTAAAGTGGGCGAGGTACGAAAACTTGGGTCTGATTGGAATCTGCTTGATGTAAAAAATATGCTGCAGTGGCTCAAAAAAGTGAATGGCATAAGTTCTTGCCGAAGATTTTTTATTAAAAAGAATGTTTCCGCCAACAATATTTTAGTGAAAAGTGAAGTACTCTATCGCACTGATACAAACAAATTCCAATCTTTACTAAAACCACGCACACGATTCGACCAGGTAGTCGTGCCATGGCTACCTTTGGGACATCAGATAAAGAAAAAAAAAATAGACAGTTTAAAAAAATTATTAGAATCATTATCTGGAGAAAAGTGGAACAATGATCCAGAACTGGCATGGTTAGTTCCAATTTTTGAAGAACAACGTGAAGATGGGGAAATAGAAGCAAATGAAGAATGTGAATGTAACGACATGGAAGAGGTTAATTTCATTTAAAGTTTGTAAATAATACAAGTAAACGTTATCGACAATATGTTTGTTTCATTTCCAAATTTATTATACCCAGTGATCTGTTGGATGGACAATCAAAATGCTGTTTGTCAACTAGTGACCTGCAAATAGCATTTTGTCCAACAGTTTTTTTGAAATAGTAAAGCCACTTTGGCTTTTTCCAGTCTGCAAATTTAGTAATTTCTCATGCTATTTTTAATAGATTTTTTAATACCAAACGCAAGTCCGTAAGTAACTCGTATTGTACGTAGTAGTTTTTTGTCATTCCTGAAAATTTACAATTTTGGACAAAACGCGTTTTGCAAGTCTGCTCCTCATTTGTTGAGTTTAGTCGGCCCACATTTAAATCAAAAAAGTAACCGTGGAGTGATATCTCCAAGTCAACGTCTTGCAATAAGTTTGCGGTTGGTAAACTTACTGGTGGGATGTATTCTTTTATTTGGTTATTATTTTAGATTTTTGGCAACCGGTGATAACACCTTTTCCATTGCATCTTCGTATCGCATTGGCAGGTCCACTGTTAGTTTAATCGTAAAACAAACAATGGGCGCGTTCAGGGACGGTCAGCAGCTGACGGCTGATGCTTAGATGGCTAACAAGTTGCTAAGGTTAGCCACCCATGTTCCCTGAATGACACACTTAAGCTGAGTGCCACTTGCATTTGAGGTTATGTTATAAAATATAAATTTTTTAACATGATCGAACCAAATATTGTGGATTTCTTATTCAACGACGATGTAAACTTAAACGGCGTAGTGTATATTCTAGATGATAATGCGGTTGATGATGAGGCCAATCATCATGCGCAGCCTGTGCGTAATGAAAATTACGTTGAAGTTACAGTACCCCAGTACACAGTTAGTGAGTTCAAGAATCACTTTCGAATGTCCCGGATGGCAGTGGAGCAGCTAATAGGTCTTGTTAGTAATCATTTACCCGATAAACATTCGGTTCCGATTGAAAAGCAAGTTCTTTTTTCCATTTGGCTTCTGGCAAAGCAAGAAAGCTTCTTGGCTGTCGGGGACAGATTTAATCTGTCGAGTGGATCAGGCCACTATATTTTTATGAATTTTATTTCTGCGGTGGGTCATTTAACGCACCAATTTATTGAGTGGCCAAATGCGAGAACATGTAACGAAATAGCATCAAGAATAGAAACAAAATATGGTAAATATGTGTAGTTAGAGTAGGGCTCTGGGGTCTCATATAGTACCTGTAATAGGAGTTGCCCCAAAATTTCACACGTTTGCCACTAGGACCACGTATAAAGGTAGTACTGAGAGTTGGGGAGAGGAAATAATTACTTTAACCCAAAAAGGGAAAGCATGTGTAAATCTTGGGGCGGCCCCTACTATCGCTACCTTTGAGTATACTCCTAGGAGTATGATGAAAGTCGCTATTATATCACACTCCAGAGTCCCACTCTATCCCCAATACCTATAGGTAACTAAATAATATATTTACCAGGCATACCAGGTGTCGTGGGTGCTATAGATGGAACCCACATACAAATAAAACAACCAACACATAACCCCGTAGATTTCTTTAATAGAAAAGATGTACACTCGGTGGTTTTACAAGGAATTTGCAACGATAAATTAATATTTACAGATGTATATATTGGTATGCCAGGCCGACTGCATGATGCGCGAATTTTTAGAAATAGCCCAATCTATAATAGACTTGTAAACAATCCTGCTTTATTAACACCACAGCAACACTTACTCGGAGATGCAGCTTATCCGCTGCTTGATAATCTCTTAAAACCATACAGGGATAATGGCCACCTTACAGAAGTACAAATTCGGTTTAACGAAGTGATGAGTAGCATACGGTCGATGATCGAAAGGTGCTTTGGTCTATTGAAAGGTAATGAATATGCTCAAAAGAGAACAAACCTGATTCTTTTTGCAGGAAAATGGAGAAGACTAAAATATCTTGATATGTCTCTAGCAGATAAACTACCTCAAGTTATATTGGCAGCTTGTATTCTGCATAACTTTATTCTGATCATCGATAATGATGCAGATAACCAGAATGACAATGGTCACAATGGTGATGACATAGGTATACAGCATGCAGAATTTTATGAGGAAGATGTTGGAAGAAATGCAGAAATAAAAAGAGATTATATAGCTTCACTATTGTAATAGGTATATGTACTTATAATAAAACACATTATTCGTTCATAAATATGTCGCTATACAAAGTAAGCATAAGCATTTTACAAAACATGAGAAAAGTTATGTTTGTGAATTTGGAGGTGAATTTAAATATTTTTCGAACAGATCTAATTTTTTCTTCTGAATTTCATTAAAGGTCTCCATTTGAATTCTAATGTTTTTAATCTCTTCTACCTTCTTGGCTTCTATTTCTAATTGTTTTTTACGAAAAACGTCTAATCGTTTCCACTTCGATGAAAGTTGTGGCGTACATGCTTGTACAGATGAGGCATGCGTTGGTGTCGATTGTGGTGATGATCCATTTTCAGTAATAACAATTGGTGTCTTTGGCGGCTGTGAAGAGGCCACCACATTGATAGGTTTCACACTTTTATCACGGGCAAATACTTCCTCGAAGCGATCGAAATATTCCCATGCTATCCTACCTCTACCTGTAGCGACCTTAGTCTTATTATTATCTAAAATTTTTATGTAGGTACTACGCATATTACGCATTTTTTTATCAAGTGCGTCAGATGACACTGTATATCCTTTGTTCTTCATTTTCCCTGCGATCTCATTCCACAGATCTTTTTTTTTATACTTCGGATTTCTAAATTTTTCGATTAACTTTTCGTATTCATCTATGAATAACAGAATGCTTTGGCGACTCCATCTAAATTTTTCACCTTATAAAATATGTTATTAGTACATGTATTAATTGGTATTCACCTACCTTCTTTACTAGCTTCTGCATCTTGCACAGCATCCAAATTGTTTGTGTCACCACCTTCTAATTCGATCTCTAAAACAGTCGTAAGTAATGCATTACAGGAATAACGTGTATAGTTTGCACCTTCATTATACATCGCATCAACTTCACTTTCATCGACTGTAGTATCGTTTTGGTAATTTAAATAATTACTTGTTGAAGGTGTGGGTACCGGCCGCAACCGTATGGTATTATTTTTACCGACGACGTAATTTTCCACAATAACTACCTTGTTCATCTTGTCCTGCACACTGGTCTACAAGTAATAACTATTTGGCGTGAAAGGTTTAGGTTATTTTTAATGCAGTTCGCATATGAGTTTGCACTTTGCAGTTCTTTTGTGAGGTTATGACGAGAACGCTGACGGCGCTGAGTACAAACAGCTGAAAACTTAAGTGCTAACCTATTTTGTCAGCCGCTGACACAGAATTCTAAGTCAGCGGACGCATTCAGGGTAATTGCTTAGTAAGCTACTTGGCCGCTGACCGTCCCTGAATGAGCCCAATGATTGCCCTTTGTGAAGCTTTGACTGATTTATATCTACCGGAACCTACTCAAGCCAAGTTTTCCCAAATCGCAAATGATTTTTGGCTGAAGTGGAACATGCGGCATGCCTAATTGTTGCGGAGCATTAGACGGCAAACATATTAGGATTGATTGCCCGGCAAACTCAGGATCATTATATTTCAACTACAAAAAATATTTTAGTATTGTCCTACTTGCGGTGTGTGATGCTGACCATGGCTCATTGAGCGATGGTGCTATATTTCACGATTCATATCTGGGACAAGCCATGGAGTCCAATACCTTAAATTTGCCACTTGCAAATGTACTACCTAGTTGTAAATCTGGTACCGTAAGACGGGGCTACTTTGGACAGTTTTTGAGGTTTTTTCTTTTTTTTGACCTTATTTTATTTCGAATAGAACCAGGTTTTTTTTCGTAGGTTACTACACCGTTCCGCTATGACTTGCTGAAAAAAATAGTTTTTTTTTTCTTTGGTATATATATTTTTTTTTAATTTTGAAAAGTGTCCGAATTTACCTACATATGTGGGGTAATTTCGGACATGTATTTAAAAATGCATAAAATTGAAGTTCTACGAGTTAAAAAGTAACTTCGGACACAAATATAAGTTTAAAAAAAAAAGAGTTGTTTTCACATAGAAACTCAAAAAATACAAAAATTCTTCAAATTATTTAACGTGTTTTATTTAAAAAAAAAACATTACTATCAAAATATCAGTCAAAAACTTAATTATATAAATTTATATAACAAGTATGAAACTAAAAATCATTTTCTTACAATAAACAAAAATAAAAAACTCTTGATATATCACAAGTCATCACTCGTTTTTGGTTCAATAATAACGTTGTCTTACTGTAGAACAATCTTTGGCGCGTTAGAGAATTTATATCGTTCCCTTCGTAAAGGCACTGGATTGAGGATCTCAAAAATATCATGACCCTCAATATAGCTCTGGTCAGGAACATCCGGAAAGTGAAAGTAGGTATCTTTCTCAGTCTTTTTTTTTCTTAAAAATCGCCGTCCTGGATTTTTATCATGAGTCCTTTTAACTTTGTCACCAATTGGCGATTTTGGAATCCCATAAAATTCCGACGCCTCTCTTATGCTCTTTTTGTTAGATTTAACATCTGCTACTGCTGCTCTTAACACTTCTACCGAATAAGCACCATTGTCCGAAGTTACCCTTCAAAAGGTGATTTTTTTGGTTAGGACGATCTGAACAAAAACAATGGACTAATCAAAATCTACAAATTACACGAAACATTCCTAACATACAAGCTTTCCAAAAAGTGGAAAAACTACGACTCTATCATTAATAGGTTTCGGTGTACGCAAGTTACTTTTTCCACTTTTAAAAAAGTCAAAAAATTGCTTACTTACGGAAACCGACGTAAAAAATCGTTGGGTGCGAAAAAAACATCCATACTCACCAAACGTTCAAGGGCAACTGTTTCAAACACTCTCTTCTCATTAGGTGACCCCGTGAATAATTTCACTGCCCCCCCCCATAATTTTTACATGTTAAACGGTCCCGTTGTCCGAATTTACCCGAGCTGTCCAAAGTAGCCCCGTCTTACGGTAGGGAAGTTCCGTACTTCATTGTAGGAGATGCTGCATTTCCCTTAAAAGAGAATTTAATGCGTCCATATCCTGGTCAAAATCTTGACATTGTTAAAAGTATCTTTAACTACAGATTAAGTCGTGCCAGGAGGTGCATAGAGAATTCGTTTGGAATTTTGCAGGCTAGGTGGCGCATTTTCAGTCGCAGTATTAATTCCACCCCAGACAGAGTTGATCTTATTGTGAAAAGTTGTGTCTGCTTGCACAACTATCTTAAAAATGAGGAAACCACTATACCAATAGGCGAACGATTATATTGCCCTCCCGGATATGCAGATAGTGACGTGTCATTGGGACAGTGGAGACATGAAATAGAGCATAATTCAATAATGACAAAAATTACTCAAACAGGATCGAACAATTCAACAATTAAAGCGAAGAATATGAGAGATGAATTAGCACGTTATTTTATGTCTCCTCAAGGATTTAAAAAGGGCCAAATTGAGTATGTGAAAAGGACTAAATAAATTGAATATTATTTTAATGTAATACTATTTAAGTGATTAGTAATGTTTACATGTCTCCACCCCACACCTGAAGAAATAATGTTTTCTTAAGATTATGTTTTACTACAGGATTTGTAATTTTTTTTATCTCTGTGGCTAACATTCTACAAAATATATCATCCTCATCTTCTTGTACTTGTTTATTCCTAAAAAACTGCAGGCTCTTTACAATTTCCGCATCAATTTCACTTGGCACCTTCTTCGTATTGTTACAAACGCTTGTAAATTTAGAAGGCTGTGCATGGAGAATTCTTTTTTTGTTAGTACTAGATGTTGAGATCTGAGCAGCCTGAGATTCAACATCCTCGGTTAGGTGTATTTGTATCGTCAGATGTAAAGACGTTTGCATAGGTGTTACCTGAGGGGTTTCCGAAGTGTATGGAAGCAACCTGGACTTATTGATGACAATTGTTTTTCCCTTTAATGCAAGCTGATCTGCAAGTAAAATGAAATTAGTTTTGAATTTATGGAAGACATACACTTACTAAATTGTTCATTTTGATCATCAGAAGCATTCTCCTGCACAACGTCTTCATATTCTGTATGTTGTGTCTCGTAATAATCGGTCTGTTGAGATACAATTTCAGTTGATTCAATGTCGGCAATAGAATTAGTATCCTCAACTTTCCGTTTCAGATTAGAAATTGTGCTGCAACTTAAAAGTTAGCTAAACAGTTTACCACATATTCGTTCTAAAATCCACATACGTGCGTCTTGCATATGAATATCTAAGAAATTCATGGCAACGTAATATTCCCATTTTGATGTGTCTTCGGCAGGTGCTCCACTCAATGTTCGTTTTTCATATGCCTTTCTCTCTCTGCAATATTTCTCCTTGAGATACTTCCAAACTGTCTGACAGGATTCCACTAAAGAAAGTGATGTCTTTACTTAATTAAAGGCTACTTATGATTTTTTACGTACCATGCTCGTCAATTGTAGTTCCAATTTCAGTCCAAGCATTGTTAATAACTACGTTATCCTTGTAATTTGGGTCTTTCTTGTTATAATTATGTTATAATAAAAAACTGGATCCAAAGGACCCGTCTAACTACAGACCAATTTCAGTGCTATCAGTGTTTTCAAAAATAATTGAGAAAATTGTGTGCGATAAAATCTCTACATTTTTGAATAACAACAATGTCTTAAGTCATTCTCAGCACGGATTTAGAGCAAACCGCTCAACAGAAACTGCCACGATTGATTTCATCCAGGAAATTCATAAAGAACTGGACCGTGGGAGGGTAGTGATCGCAGCGCTCCTCGACATCTCGCGGGCTTTCGACACTGTAGACCATGAACTACTTGCACAAAAATTAAATGTAGCAGGCATTAGAGGAAAAGTTAACGAATGGGTGATTTCCTTCGTGTCGGATAGAAGCTTCAGAGTTCACATAAAGGGAGAGAAATCAGAACAATTTAATATCGATATTGGGACTCCACAGGGAAGTACCCTTGCTCCAATGCTTTTTCTAATCTACGTTAACGATATGGTCGAGTATCTGGGAAAATATGGCATTCTCTTTATGTATGCCGATGACACCACTATTATCGTCTCAGCCTCAACTCAAGAAGAAACGATATCAAAGCTCGAAACTGCGCTCAGTTTATTTATGAAATGGTGCTTTTATAATAAACTGAAAGTCAATATAAACAAAACAGCGTGTATAGGCTTCAGCTACGGAACTAGAAACCCCCAAACTATCTCAATTCAAACCGACGACGGACAAATTATTAATCTTGTTGAAAAAGCTACTTTTCTGGGAACTGTTATCGATAGTAAGTTGACTTTCTCTGACCATATTGACCTCGTCTGTATAAAATTAAAAAAACTACACTATCTTTTCCTTAATTTAACTAATTACCTGGACAAAAATGCGTTACTCTCAGTTTACTATGCCAAAGTGTATTCTGCTTTTAGTTACAACATTATCGTGTGGGGACAATCAACAGAAGCTTGTAGAGTGTTTACCTTACAAAAACGAGTAATCCGGCGTATATACAATCTAAAATTTAACGAATCGTGTAGAGACACGTTTAGAAATAATAGACTTTTAACCTTTGTGTCAGTTTACTTGTTAAAAATTTTAGTGTACATTCATAAACACCGACTAGTTTTAAAACGAAACCGTGACAACCATGAATATTCCACTAGATCTGGAGATAATTTGTATCTTCCGAAATGCCATCACTCAAAATTCAAGAAGTCGGTCCAGTACGCAGGGTGTTACCTTTACAATGTACTATCACCTGACATCAAGAATATCACTAACACAAACACGTTCAAAAATGTGCTCAAAGACCTACTCATTGTAAAGTGTTGTTACACAATCCAAGAGTACTTGAATGTCATCTAAATAATAATGTTTGTCCAATATTTGTATACAATGTGTGTGTTTTATACCTATTGATTCTCTTTGTGTGACCAGCCTTATCTATTGTAAAAATAGCTACAAAGGTCTAATAAATTATTATTATTATTATTATTATATATGCAAGGAAATTGCTGAACTAAACTTATTAATAGTTCCACATCTATTGTCTCAAGGGCAGACGCAGACATACTCTTTTTTATTATACACTAAACAAGCAATAAGCAAATTATTTAGACTAAATAGCGGTTTATTTTGAGTAAAAGTGGCACCTTGAAATTGAAAACATAAAATAGATTTAGGTTATAAACATAGAAAACCTAACCTACGGATAGAATGAAAACAGAATTACGATTCTTAAAACTGTCATGGCGCCCATCAATATGGCTTCTCTATTAGGCTTCCAAGGCAACAGGTGGCACTGAAGTGTGATTTCTTTAACCTCGTGAGCGTGACCTGACGAAACAAACAAATTAAAATTTAAAAGCCGCATCATCCATAGAAAACCTAACCTACTTAGGTTTTCTATGGCATCATCAAATCGAAGCCTTGCACTCGTTTGTTGTTTTGTGTTTTCGTTTTAATTCTAATCTCGAGCTGTTTAAATTCGTGTTATACGATTTCATGTGTCGTGTTAAGTAATATTGCAGTTTGTATTATATTATTCTTTGAACTTTTGTCTTTTCGTATAGTGGGTGTTTATAGGTTAGTTTTGCATTAGTGACGTTTATTTGATTAGGAACCCAGCAAACACAAATGTTTCAATAAGATCTCCGAGATGTTGCAACTAAAGCTCTGATGAGATGTGTCGATGAGACGTATATTAGATGTTTTTGAATCCTTAATATCGCATGTGTCTGAGATGTCACATTTTCAATGCCCCAGGGATAGTTCGCCTAGTGCTCAATACAAACATCTCAGTGGGACTTGTATGCCATATCGCTGGGACTAAACAGAGGTATCTGAAAAACGTGTCATCTAGCTCCCAGAGCTGTATCAATACGGTCTCTGAGATGTCACAACTAAAGCTCAAATGCTATGTCTCTACGAGGTACAAGCCGAATCACCGGGATTAAACAAAGACGTGTCAGAAATATATCATGTATCTAACGTAGATGTTTCAATAAGAGGTGCTGTAAAATATATGTAACTTCTCAACGCGACACACGTACGTGTAGTAGTAATATAACGGGTGATTCATATAATGATTGCGGACAATTTGAATTTTCAGTTGGGTACACAAAACATTCATAAAGTGGGTCACATGCCAAATGTCATTTATTTAAATGCGGATTAATTTAATGGATAATGCCAATGCCTTACGTAAAAACCACTAAAATCTACAATCAGTAGGTTTTGTACATCAAGAACTTAATTATTACCGAAGCGGGTCGTTGATGAGATATGAATTTCGAACCGAATCATAACAGACAAATTTATTTCATATTACTAACTTAGATATATCTGTTAAAATACCATAGCTGAACTAATTTTTAATAAATACGATTTTTAGATAGGTATAGTATGAATTAAATATAATTTTTGGGGTTTATTCGTTTTTTTTTTCAGTAGGCCACGAAATATTATAATCGCCGTGCGAGTACAAAGTCAACAACTTTGTAAATTCTTTGAATTGAATCTTGTTTACTTAAGATACCTGTTTAGCGGATCGAAAAGTGTGCTTAACCGGTTCTAGGGTGGATATTCGTTTTCGTTTTAAGGGTCGTTCATTCATTGATTTCGTGCGCGTCCTCGTGATTGTTAATTTTGATTTGTGTTCGTGATTAGGTACATTTCCGGAATCCGGTTGGTTTGAAGGCATCACTATAGGTAAGTACGTACCTAATCTATCTATTTTTGTTTGTGTATTTAATTAAGATTGAAATTATATAAGCAAAGATAAATGCAAGTTTTTCGATTTTGATGCACATTAGATAGATGGACAGGCGAATTACTATAAAATCTTAATATTTGTGTGAATATGTAATCACCGGCAATAAATTAGCGAAATTTCAGACAAATTCCGTTTACACAATCAATGGAACGTGTGGGTTAAAAATATTGAAATTAAGAAATTTCTCCCTGTAACTGTAAACAGTTTACTGTAGATTTTGGCGCTGAACTGTTTTTTCGCATTTGTCCTTACGGGTCACGGAATTATTATCCTGATGAGCGTACTTCTCGCGATCAATATCCAGTGAATTTTTACCCTACTGATGATGACCACTTAGTGGTCGAAATACGTATTTAGGTTTTTTTAAAACTTATTGTGGTAAAGGGAGAAATTTCTTAATTTCAAAATTCCGTTTAGCCTAGGGTTGGTATAAGGAAACAAAATTGCCGTTTCTACAATACAATTTTGATTCTATACAATCACACAATGTATAAACTAGAAAAGGATTTAGTTTAATTTATAATGTTAAACATTACTTAAGCAATTTGGAATTGAAAACAAAGTGTTGTTCAAGATCTCTAGGGGTATGTATCTGTTTCACGCAAACCGTTGCCTAAAAGTATTCAAGCTCTCATTGACAATATGAATCTGAAAAGTTGCTACCAATATAATTTTTCATAATTTATTGAAGGAAAATATTATCGTGATCGTTACATTTCCGGTTATACCGGATGTCGATAGCAATTTTTTTATTTTGAATAGAACACCCCATATTTTATCGCATTTTAGAAATCTACATGAAAATCTACGTCTTTTGATAGAGAGAAAATATTTTTGATAATCTAATTGACTCGTAACTATGGATCACTGTTTTTTTGTAGCGTAGGCTGCATAGTAAATTCCGAGATAAATGCCGCAAAAAGCAATATGGGCACGATGCCCGTTTTTAGCGCATTTTTTTTAATAATTAACACACGATTTACCCGTCATGGTATTCTAAGGAAAGGACTCATCAAAAGGAATTGGTTTCTATACAAACTATAAGTGTACCACAATATTGTTGGTGAAAATTTAACTTAATTGGTATAACATTCATAATTGAGTTGACTTCACATGAGGTACTTATTTTGCATCTATGCTGGGAATGCATCTTATACTGAGGTTGCCATATTCTTTTGTGTTTTCGAAGGTCTAAGTAAAAAGGTACGTCATGAGCAAGAAAAGGAAGCCATTTTGTGATCTATCCGATAGACAAAAATGGAGACTAGTGGAAAGAGAGATGAATCCTAACACAGCCATTTGTTCGCGTGCCACTGTTTCAGTCCCAACTCCAAACCATATAATGGAGAAAACATCTCCAATTCCGGTGGACAATTACGTTATAGACCAGGGCTGCGATACCGCTACTTGGTTGGGTTCTGCATCATCAATAGGTTAGCAATAATTAACATGACAAAAAACATCAAAACTTCCTGCTTTAGGTGAACATAGTACAGGCACTAGTTTGCCAGCTGCTCATTCCCAGGCTAATTCGGTAAACTCGGAAACATTCAGTGTTTATGTAAAAGATATTGAAACTAACACATATGATAGTTCTAGTGGTTTACAAGAAGATCTGAGAACATGGGTTATCAAGTATTCACAAATACCCAGAACTGCAGTGAATGATTTGCTGGCTTTGCTAAGAAGGAATGGTCACTGTGATTTACCAAACGATTCCAGAACATTATTGAGTACACCCAGAAACTCAGCCAATTTTATCGAAACATTTAGTTCAGGTCGTTACGCACACTTTGGAGTGTATGAGCAATTGAAAGACTCTATCGTGAAACACTACCCTAAAAACCAATACCCTACTGAAGTGAATCTACTTATAAACATAGATGGGCTACCACTGTCAAAGAGTTCAGCTATTCAATTTTGGCCTATACTATGTGCTATCCTTTCTAGTGAATTCTACACAACCCCATTCCCTATAGGAATTTTTGAAGGAAATACGAAACCAGATGACGTAAACCAATTTTTAAAAAAATTTGTAGACGAAACCAATACCATTCTACAGTCGAGTATAATTTTAGATCATAAAACCATTGTGGTAAAACTGCACGCTATTGTATGTGATGCTCCAGCCAAGGCGTACGTATGTGGTATAAAAAACCATACAGGCTATTTTGGTTGTCCCAAATGTATTCAACAAGGCGAATTCATTGAAAATAGGGTTGTGTTTACCGAGACAAGTTCAAGTGAGAGAACTGATGCATCATTTAAAAACAGAATTCACCCCGAACACCATAGAGAAACGACAGCATTGGAAAAATTACCCATAGGAATGGTATCACAAGTGGGACTGGATTATATGCATTTAGTTTGCCTGGGTGTTATGAAACGTCTGCTTCAGTTTTGGGTGAAAGGAAAATTAAATATCAGATTGAAGCCAAATAAATTGGAAGAAGCTTCCAGTAAACTAATATCGATGAGAGCCTATATTACTCTAGAATTTGCACGACAGCCAAGGAGTTTAAATGAAATTGATCGTTGGAAGGCGACAGAGTTTCGACAATTTCTGCTGTATACGGGGCCAATTGTAATGAATAATATATTGTCTGTGAAAACCTATAGACACTTTATGTGTTTAAGTGTAGCTATTAGAATATTGTGTGATGGTAATTCTGATACTGACTTGATAGATTATGCACATAACTTGCTTCTATATTTTGTACGAAAATATGGAAATATGTATGGATTACATTATCTATCATATAATGTACATAATTTGATACATTTAGCGCAAGATGTAAAGAGATTGGGACAGTTAGAAAATTTCAGTGGTTTTAAATTTGAGAATTACTTATATAACTTAAAAAGAAAGCTCCACATATCGGGTAGACCCCTTGAACAAATATGCAACAGAATTATAGAGGAAAAGAATCACAACAGAAATGTTTTACAAAAGTATCCTATTTTACATTCCAAGCTTAATGTAATTTACAAAGCAGAGTTTGAGTCGTTCACCCTAACTACGACTGCACCAAATAGTTATTGTATCCTTTATGACGGGAGAGTTGTAAATATTTTGAAAATATCTCAGAAAACTAATGTCTTATGTTTCACCGTGAACACATACAAAACTAATACATCTTTTTTTTCTGTTCCATGTAAATCAGAAAGTTTAGGCATTTTGTATGTAGCAGATGTGATGGAAGACACTTTTGAAATACCATTTTCTGATATAAAAAATAAATGTATGTGCCTTAAATATTTAGATGGATATGTTGTTATGCCATATTTGCATTAATTACCAATTGTAAAATTATGTTGTACATTTTATTAACCACTGTATAAATGTACCTATACTCTACTTACTAACACTTAATCACACCATTTCTATACTATCTATAGGAAGAAAATTATGTCTTTAAAAAAATTCGCAGTGGTGTATTTCGAAGAAAACGAATCTTTCTCCGAAATTCCATCCTCATGGTTAAACGAGGACATGAAATATTGCAAGTGGCCAAAATCGCTGAATCCCACAGCGTTAATGGTTAAGGGGATAGAACCCTCTGACACATGGGGGAATTATAAAGTTAGAGTTGAGAAGTTTTATGGTAAATTTTGTCAGATATTGCTTACATGTTTTAGTTATTACGCTCATTATAGATACGCTGGAAGCTGCACGAAAGCATGCTGGAACAGATTACACATCAAGTGAAGAGGTCGAAACTGGAAGGGGGAAAAGAAAAAAGACCAGTGTAACTAAATCAACGTCTACTGACGATGAAGAGTCTACTAAAGGTTCGTCAAAATGTTGTGATTACTTACATTAACGTTAAATCGTCCATTTTAGATAGTCCACCTCCAACTCTTAAGAAAAGGAGATCTTCGCCACGTTTCTCTAAGCGAGAAAACACACGCCAATCTTCTACGAATAACGGTAAGCTCTTTGTGCGACTTTTTAAAACGTACTAAGCAGAAGTCAACTTACTTTAGAGATTTTTGTACTTAACCCGTTATCACATTAACGTATCAATTTAACAAAGAACCGTTACTAAGAGTTGAGAATCTCCAAAAATTTATACTAAATTATTTCAGTTAATAATAATGAAAACTTGCTATCATCATCGCAAGAACATGGACAAAATGTACCGATGGCATCAAATACAGGCAGCATCATTGAATCTAATGAAGGTATTGTCATTATGATAATGATTACACTTCTTGAAACTAATGGTAGGATTATTCAAGGTGCAGACCAGATACGTCCACTAGACAATTCCATAGTGCTCGATTTTGGAAATTCCACGTTGCAGGAACTAATACATACTTGCGATCACAGACACGATTTTGGTATGTGAATATTTACAAATAGAAAAAAGTTATAAAAATAATTTATATTATGCTTCAGACAATATTCATACAAACATGAAAAAAATATTCGTGCAGATAAAATCTCTGGAATCCAGATTGGAACAATTGAACAATCAAAACCAAACAAACATTATATCAATAAACACAGAGGAGGTTCAGACAAAGCTCCCATTAAATACGCTAGAGGAATTAAGCACCTTGGAAAACATTGTGGCTGAGGAAGGGGAGTTTTCACATAAATTTGTGAGTTGTATAATTTACTCAACACTAAGGTTTTCATTCTTTTATTTTAGACCTCATACTTACAAACCATTGGCGGCAAAAATGCAAAAGACGCCCTAGTTAACATGCTTCGGAAAGTATTCACCAATAAATTAGCAGTAAGCTGCTCCTGGCATGGCCTTAGGGGGAATTTTAAATTATCAAATTTAAAATTTATGAACAGGATAATAGGTAAGATATTTGTTTAATATTTTTATTACTATCCGATGCCTATGTTAACAGCTGCTGAACAACGTATGTATAACAGCATCCAAGAGCACGAAATAATTACCATTATAAATGATTGGTTTCGTCAAGCTAGATTAAGAGAAACCAGGGAAAGAAATTAGCAGCCTAATAAATGTAATAATAATAAATGTTGCTTTTTTGTTTTTATTTTACCATATTGGTATCTTAATTTTTTAATTATATCCCGTAAAATAAGAATTTCCTTGTTTAATAAGTGTGCTCATACATAAATAGTTCTTTGTAATAAATTATTTACTTTTTGCGTGACGTTCTAATTGAGGTAGTTAGTAAACCCTTACTTCAGGTATTTATCGTAGATATCTCGTCAGTTCATTTATACTTATACCAGAAACATGTCATTATACACATATACTTTATATCTATTAAGATATCTAGGTATATTGTATAGGTACTTAAAGAACGATGCCCATTTTAGATGTTAGGGGAGTCTATTAAACTCTAAAACACTGTGTTATATAACACTGATAGCTTATTTTATTCGAATTCGTCTTTTATTAATATTTCATCATTAGAAAAAAAACGTTTCTAAAAGCTGGCGTAGCTAGTACGTAATCATGGTAATAGAATCAAAAAAATTAGGTAGGTACGGAAAATTATTCAAAGATGTCTCATTCATGCGTCTATGGCCTGTCTTTAACACCTCATCCAAGTATCCGAGATGTCTCATTCACGGGCTTAGTGATGTACCAATAGCATTTCCGTGAAGTGGCTGAGACATAAAATAGATGATTCAAAGGTGTCTCATTCATGCGTCACTTGGTGCGCCATGTATGACTCAGCAAAGTATCAGAGAGGTCCCATGCATGTGTCGAGTAATGTGGCATAGATGTGTCAGGTAAGTCTCGGAGACGATACAAACCACGTTTCATTAAGGTGTCAGGAACGTCTCTGTACATCTCTGGGATGGCTCAAATGCGCGTGTCTGAAACCGGCGTTTTGTATTACATGTAACGTAAATGTACACTACATGACACATCTCTGAAAGCTATCACATCTCAGTTGGGATGTATCAATTACATCACTGAAAAGTCTCCGTGTTTAGGTACTGGGAATTAGGATTGCCATTAGTTAGGACAAGAATTAAGTTATTATTTATTGGACATTTGATATAATATGGGTAAAGTTGGGTGTGCGGTTAGTGCGTGTCAGCCAAACAACGTTGATGGTAGGCATCGATTTCCCAACCCCTTGAAACATCCAGAATTATTCTCTGCTTGGGTGGAAGCTATAGGAAATATGCTGCTTGCTAATAAATCCAATACCTACATCTACAAAAATTGCCGAGTTTGTAGTGCACATTTCTCGAAAAAGGATTTTGGACCAAATCATGTATTATGGAAAACTGCTGTTCCTACACTGTTTTTATTAGGTATGTTGTAAGGCAATTTATTTGCAATATAGTATAATTAGAGTAATTTTTAGGAAAAGTTGCTCATGATTAGCAATAATCGAACATGATTATGCAAAATCCACGGATGAGTCTACAGAACATAGAAGCGTGATAGAAGTTGATGCAAATAATTATGAACTCCATACAGGTTGTTTATTGTACCTACTTAATGATACATCAATTAATTTTATATATATTTTAGCAATTTCAGACAATGTAGGTACTTCTACAATCAGCAGAACATAATTATGCTCTGAACATAGAATCGTCATCAGTTCAGCTGTCACCATTAAAAGCTTGTGAAGAGGTTCTTGTAGAAAAAATGGATACTTCAGAGGTCACGGAAGTTACATCAGATCTTAATTTCACAGCTTGCACACAAAAAACCCTTACAAAAAGTCAGTGATAATTTTAATCTTAGTTTCTTTAAAATTTATCATGAGGGAAATTTGGCTGGTCTAGCACCATTTACAACATTAAGGCTAATATGTGTTGCTTTGTAGATTTACTAATTTTGATTAGATAATTATTTGAACTAAACCTTAGATTGTTCTTAATCTATTATTTTTATCTATATTAGTTATGTACTTATGTTGCAAGCCTCTGGAGATACATAATACCATGCATACTTACTTTTAAGTAATATTATTCATTTTATTTTAGGAAACTACATCTTGGACTCAATTAAAGTAAACAAAGCTGCTGATCTGAACCCCGAAGGCCAATACCTGTTAAAAACTGCAACTTTTTATAAAAGGAAAGCTGCTGTGTTGCAACGAAAGGTTCTTCATTTAAAAACGCAACTACGTACCGAAAGGAAACGTCAAAAAACCACTGCATATGACATAACTACAAGCAACATGGATTCGATACAAAGTAATTTTGTTCGAACTTTAGCAGAGTGTGCAGGAAAAAAACCTACAGCTAGAAGATTTTCTATTGACCACAAAGTGTTAGGATTAGCGTTGTATAAGCAAAGTGCGAATGCCTATAAGCTATTTTCTCAAGTTTTTCCTATGCCATCTAGGGTAACAATTATGAAATTGTTAAACAATGTACCAATTCACCCAGGCATTAATGAATGCATGTTTGAAGGGCTTCAAAAAGCTTGCAAGAATATGGGTCCATTAGACAAGTATTGTATGCTTGTCTTTGACGAAATGAGCCTGTCATCTCATTTAAATTACAACCCACACAGTGACGTAGTAGAAGGGTTTGAAAATTATGGCGATAAGCAAAATCAGATAATTGCTGATCATGTGCAGGTAATTAAAGAACTTAAATAAATCAATACCATATTTGTTATGTTTTAGGTTTTTATGTTGAGAGGCATTCACAAAAACTGGAAACAACCAATCCTTTTTCAGTTTGTAAAAGGTGCCGTTAAATCGCCCCAAATTGTCAAAACCATAAAAGAAATTGTAAATATTGTGCATAAATCTGGTCTTCGTATTTTGGGGACAATTTGTGATCAAGGTGCTAACAATGTTAGTGCAATAAACTCTTTAGTGAATGAAACACGTGCAAGATATTTCAGAGAAAATAAGGAACTGCGACATCATATATTTGAGATCGATGGAGATATTCTAATACCTTTTTATGATCCACCTCATTTGATAAAGGGCATTCGAAATAATATGTTGACCAAAGACATTACTTATAAGTGTGACGGACAGCAAAAAGTTGCAAAATGGGAGGACATTTATACAGCATGGCAATTAGATTGCTTTAGTGGGCGCCTTCGTGCCATGCCAAAAATTACAGAATTTCATGTGGATAGAAGTAAAATAAAGAAGATGAAGGTGTCGATTTGTGCACAAGTTTTTAGTCACACTGTTTCATCAACAATAAATTTGATGGCAACATGTGGTAAGTATATTCATAGTTTTAATAATGTTGATTAATGTGTGCATGTTATAGAATTAGTTGGAAGTGATGGAACGACTACAATGGAAAAGCGAGCCGTTGAAACTGCAGAGTTTATACATATTATTGACAAACTTTTTGACAGTGTGAACGGAACATCACCATTTAATATAAAAGGAAAAGCCTTGAAAACATCTGTTAATTTAAATAATATCGAGGGAAGTCAACATATAAAATTCTGGAAAGATGTAATCATTTTTATAAACAATATGTATTGCATCCAGAATGGGTGTAAAAAACAACCTCCAACCTTCAAAAACCTTAAGATAACCATAGAGAGCTTCTTACTGTTACAAAAAACACTCAAGGATTTAGGGTTTAAGAGTTTCAAACCCAGGTATATCAATCAAGACGCTTTGGAGAATTTTTTTGGACGGATTAGGCAAAGAGGACGAAGATTTGTAAATCCAACATGCAGTGCCTTCGTTCCATTTTATAAATCAGTTTTGGTAAACAACTTGGTTAAGAAACATTCCTTGGGATCAAATTGTGAAGAAGACAACTCCAATATTCTTGTGACACTGAAAACGTTTCTTACACAGGTAATAATAATTATATTAACCTATTCAACTTTTACTGAAGTTGTTATTAATTGTAATACTACATTACAGAACATTTGGAGACAACTGTTTCTTTGGTCGTGTGAGATTACCTTGGTGACATGTGTTATCCGTGTTAAAGAAGAAGAATAAATATCATTTTAGTAAGTGCCCTCTACATAATGCATGGCACTGTTTCTTTGTTTAGATTCTACATAAATAGTGATTTTTCATTTACTCTTTATTCTTTTATTAAACTAAGTTTGTACGTTTTTCTATTTTCTTCTATCAACTTTTGCATGTTTTTATAGAGGCTTAAATTATTTCATATTAATAGTTATTGTTTTAGGATCTTCCCAACACTCCCAACCAGAGTGATGCAGTTGTGCCTGTTACATTACCATCCACATTCGAAAAGCTAAGACCACTTGAAACTGCTGCATTAGGTTACGTTGCTGGGTACATATGTAAAGTTAAATTACATTTGACAAATTGCATTGCATGCAAGCACAATATATTGAAACGCAATTTGGTTCGAGAAGAAAACGAGGAGAAGGATTTCCATCGCTTTATTCGATCCAAAGAATACGGAGGACAAAAAATTGAGAGATTGCAATATTGTAATGTAGAATTTTTAAAAATCTTAGTAACAATGTATAATATAGTAACATACATATTACAATCGCATCCACACATAAAGCATATTTTTAAAGTTATGGAGCTAACTATCAATTGCAATGTTAATTTTAATTTTATACAATGTGAACATTCTAATACTGTTAAACATCGTGTTGTAAAAAACTTTACAAGACTTATAATATTTAATTATTTCAATGGAATTAATAATGTGTTGTCAGGAAAGGATGCAAGAGCATTACCGCCCACGTGCTCATCTTTATATAAACACGCAACAAATGTATTTTTAAGAAATAAAAAAAGATAATAGGTTAAGAACATCAAAATTTGTTATATTTTACATCAAAAATTATACTAAATGTAATGTAATTTTATTGTGCATGGTGTTAGAGGATTTTTTAAGAAGTATTAACTACCTGGGCAAATGTAAATGGTTAGGGGGGGGGGGGTGTCAAAAATCTTCATTTAAGGAATGTAATTCAGAATCCTGCCCCCTTATAAAATTTACGTATGAATTTCTGTCTGAATATGTTTCTTTGCAGGGTTCTCTGTAACGCCTCACTGAGAGAAATAATATAATCAAAGTGTCTACCTGAAAATATTTTAATTACAATAAATGTCTTTTTATTTGCCTCAATTAGTTATCAATTTATGACAATAATCTCATATACTGTGCTAAGTAAAATCGATTTTCTAGAAGTGGTGGATAAGGGCAATTAGACATACTTGCTAAACGCTTGTAGATTTTCATAGGTACAATAACAGCAGATAGCGTTTTCGCTGCAGTTATAAAACTGTTGCATTGAATTTGATATTCTTGTTTAATTACGTTTTTGTAACTGCCACAAACGTTTAGTTTAGTTGGCGTTATGAAATACTAATTTATGGCGAGTAAACATCTACTTGTAGCAATCGTCTTCAGAAGCCGTTTTCGTTCGTTTTTTGACGACCATAAAAGCTGTAGGTATATAGCAATTTCTTCATATACGCATGCAGGTACATTGTGCTGTGCGGGTGTAAGTTTTATTCGGTTTTATTATATGTACCTAGTGTACCAAGAGCTGAAATTTACGCCATACCTACCCCAAAATGAGCGAATTTAAGTCATTACTTATTAAATGGGGACTTGATGTATATTTCGACTATTTCTTAGGTAAGTAGAAAGAGTTATATTTTTGCTACTATTGCTGTCTACCGAAATTATTTTTTAAGTTTTTAAGCTACTGAGACCCAGTTGCACCAAAAAAATTAAGCCTTGCTTAAAGTTAAGTCGAACTTAAAATCTATGGCAACAATTATTAAGACAATCGTTGCTATGGTATTTTATTTAAGTTATGCTTAACTTTAAGGGATACTTAATTTTGACGGTGCAATTGGCCCTCACTGATGAAAATTGTTCAAATTTTATGTCGTGATGTGTTCAAGGTGTAACGTACAGACACGACCGAGTATATTATGCTTTCAGATATTGTTTATGTCAATCAGTACATCATTGTAAATAATGAATATTACATCACAATTTATTAATTGTATCCTAAGTGGCATTTTCATTTGATTTTCATTTTTTATTGTTAGATAGGTATAGGATTGTTGTTGTTTTTAAGTGTAATATGTACGTTTTTCATTTTTGTCTAATAAATACCATTGTGAATTACGTTATTACTAATTCCAATTGCCCTTAAGTTAAGGAATAGATTTTTAACACAATTAAACAAGATGTACTGTAGTAAGTCAATGAAAAACCATTCTAATTTAACTACGTTTCTACAACACCTCGCTTTGCTACCCACAGTTATTTTGCGGTTAAATCTTCCTAAATATATTATATACTTACAACAATTTAGTGTACTATTTAAGGTTATTTAACGTACACTTATTCTAATTAAACTGTTTATTATTCATAATAAATGCCTTTAATTGTCTCTAAAGAAAGTTTATGTCTGTTGCCAGGTTTTCAAATACCTACGGTAATTGATGTAATTACAAATAAAATTAAAATTTGACTGTAATCAAACAGGTACAGAAAACTCTATTTAATTATCGTGAATAACAAGTTGTATAGTCACATATAGTATTAAATTTTTTTTATTACTGCTAACAGATTTTTCTCTCAGTGCTGCCCTTCCTCTGTAAAAATTCTACCACGGCAGGTCGTAGATCAAATTTACATGTCGCTGTCCCATTTACCTAATGCTATTAAAAGTTTGTAATTTAACGTTTCTTCTAATAAGTTCGATCGCGCATATCGGAATAAATCAAATTATGATGAGATAGAATATTTTCTGTTTGCATGCTATAAGGTGGAGACCCCCCCTGTCTGGGGGTCACTGCAGCCATGAAAACCACCCCAACCTTGGCCATGGAGGCACTTCTGGGAGTAGAGCCTTTGCACTAAGCTGTAGAGACGGAGGCTCGGAAGGCTTCGATACGCCTAAACGATTGGGGAGAGTGGAAAGATCGAGGCAGCCTTGGGCATGGGCGGATCTGGGTGGAAACTCTCAGATCCGATCCCCTTCTCGCAAGAAGGGATGTTATTCGGGCTGTCTTACCTAAACCTAAAGGTTATAAAGTCACTCTCCCGGACAGGGAGCAGTAGCTGAACTCGAATCAGCCGTTCCTCAAACCTGAGGGGCTCATGTGGTTTACAGATGGGTCCCTAACGGAAAGGGGGACGGGCATGGGTATATATGGTGACCGACCGAGAGCTGACATCAGTTTTCCCCTTGGTCAGCATACCACTGTGTTTCACGCAGAAATGTTAGCCATCACATGTGCGCAGGAAAACCTCTATAGAATTTTACTTTTAACTTTTTTAACATTAACATCATCAAAATTTCATTCTTATTAGCTAAACGCTCAAAGTTTGAATCCTAATAGTATTCTTCCAAACTACTAGAGGGCACTGACATTGTTTCAATGTTTAACAAGGCCGCTTTCATTCTATCCGTAGGTTAGGTTTTCTATGGTTATAAACAATCAGCTGACGAATGCGAGCATGCGCTATAAGCTTTTTTACATAATCAGAAACACAAAGTTGAAAAATTTGAACTCAATTTTACAAGTTATGTGTCATGAAGGTCACCCAATAACCGTAATCATAAGCGTAACTCCATGTAGCAAAGGACATATATTTCAGGCATTTGAACCTTATGATTATGGTTCTGATTACGCTTACGTTCGATGTGCAACTAGCTTTATACAGCGGTCAAAATGAATATGGTAAATAACGAATATTTAGCAAGATGTGCCCATTGCGATTTCATTTCGTATGCAAGCAAAGTAAAAGAACATATAAAGGTAGCACATGTCGATCCACGTAATTTCGAACCTGAAATTAATTCCAAAGAAACAGTCATGTATGAGGAGAACACCGTGGAAGAACAGGAAAGTATTCTTGAAGAAGTGGAAAATATTCCACCTTCTGATTCTACAACCAAACAAAACAACAGTCATCAGTGGAATGACCCAGAAGTAAAACTTCTGATTTCCTTATATGAAGAAAATCGACAAAATTTTGAAGGAACCAAAATGACCAATCGGAGTGTCTGGCAAAGAATAGCAAACAGTATGACAGAAGCAGGTTATCCCGTAACATGGGAACAATGTGATAACAAATTTAAAAATTTAAAAAAGTCTTATAAGAAAGTGATCGATAATAACAACAAAACAGGAAGAGGTCGGATCCATTTTAAATACTTTGATTTATTAGACCATGTTCTAAGTGCAAATCCGAATATACATCCTGTAGCAGAATGTAACACGTTGATTTTGGTAGTATCTCTTGTTTTTGGATTAACTTACTCACTATTTTTTGTTTCAGAATGATCGGGAACAAGATCTGCAGTCACCTAGCACTAGTAGTGCTTGTGAAACTCCTCATAACAATGAAATGCCACAAAGGAATAAGAAGCGACGACAACAGCATTCAGATGAGGAGCCTATGTGGTTTAAAACATATAAAGACGTCGAAAAACGACACAGAGAAAAAATGCAGATGCAGGATCGCTTCATTTCCGTAATCGACAAATTTTTAAATCGTTAAATTAGATATGTTAATACTTACATAGAATTTTCATTTTATTTTGTAATGGAAACAAAATAGTTGGGAATTAAACATTTTATTTGTTCTTACGTTTGTAGTATATCTGCTAAGTAGTCACGTTTAGTGCGACCATTATTATTTACATTGTAGTGTATACGGCGATTAATGGAATAAGTTGTCGTATATAGCACTACTTTATTTATTGCACGGATAAACGTGCGGAAGGATGAATAAAGAATAGAAACACCAGTAATGTGGTTTAAGTTGTTTACTTACACAAAGCTACCTTAGGCGGACCGGAGGAATAAGACCTCGTTTCACAAATCACAAATGAAAGGTGCAAAAGGAAGTCAAATTTATTTAATTTGACCTTTATTTCAATGCCTTTTTTATTACTTATTTTGAGTATATGCTAAAGGACGATTTATAAACTTGACGTAATTATTTCTTGAAGATGTAGCAACCAGTTAAAAGGTTATATAACGTGGTTGTACGACATTTCGTCTATTACGACTTTTTCAAGTACATTGTTTACAATGTTACAAAGAGTTGATGCTGTAATTTTGTTTAAGTATTGTTTAGTCTGGCCAATATACAGCATCAACTGTTGGTAAAATTTTAAACAATGTACTTCAAAAAGTCGTAAATAGACAAAACGTCGTACAACCACTTTATATAACCTTTTAACTGGCTGATACATCTTCAAGAAATAATTACATTAACACACCATGTTGACGTTGCAGTTACTGTTGCAAGGCATTTCTTGATATCAACCGTGAACGTACCCTTAGTGTAAATGTGTAAAGTGTGATAGGATTTCCTGTAGAAAAATTATGCTAATAGTTTACATTTGCCATCATCGATATTTAAAGCACTCCAACTTTGCACAAACAGAGATTGTTTTGTTTGCATTCGATTCTGCATTGGGAACGTTGAGCTCTGATATGATTTTTCCTCTTTGCCTCAAGTTGTAACGCAATTATCATTATATTTCAACTGTAATGCATTATATATTTCTGCAGCAAATGATTTTACTATGATGCGAAATAAATTCGTTTTCTGAATACTTTTTTGGGCATACATGTTAAAGAGAAATGGTAATTGTAAACTATTCAGATGTAAATACGATTGCAAGATAAATACATGTACTGTGATACTTTAAATGGCACATAAAGTTCATTTAAGGTTTCACAGTTCATGTATTTACTTGTAATCTGAATTTCCAACACATAAATAGATATTTGAGTATCCCGCTTTTTCTGTATAGTTGCCCTTGCAACCGTTGGATGGCGCTTTTTACAATTCCAGTCGGTAACATGGGAGATTCTAATCTATCCGTATGTGATTTGTGATTTGTGCCTCGTTTCTTTTGAGCGGTTAGTTTTTATACTGGCCTAGATGGCGCGGCAATAGCCAGCAGGCAGTGGCGCCGAAAACCAAGTCAGTAGCGCCACAACATCAATATCATGCGGAACATCTTCCTGCATACTATCATTGTACTCCTCAAGATCGATATCATTAAAATTAATACAAATATTATGCAATACACAACAGCACATTATAACCTTTGGGATTTCTTTGGTGTCATACACATTTACATAACGCAGTATACGAAATCTGCCTTTTAATAATCCGAATGTGTGTTCAATAGGGTATTTGCATGTTTTTTTTTTATTATACAGAAGCAAAGGACACGTAGATAGAAGTCACGTGTTATACAAAAAAAAAACAAAATCTTAAGCATTACTTGAGAAATTTGGCACTAAAATTCAAACTAGCAAAGTTCCCGCCAAAACGCCTCGCAAGGTTACACAGTGCGACGTGACGTCACTCCTTTTACGATTTGTTATGGCTGCATGTAACTTATGCTTTGTGTGCGCGTAATAATGCGTTCATTTGGCTGTTAATTTGGGTTTATCGTGTTTGACTGTATTTTGTGATTTGGGAACGTTGGCGAGTATCCGTGATAAGACTTAGTGTTCATTTTCGTAGTATTAATATTGTTAAATAAGTGATTAAAGCGCAAACAAACAATGAGCGCTCCGAATAAGTGGTGTTTTGTTCCTGGTTGTACGACTACGTCGAAAAATAATCCAAACAAGATTTTCGTTACTGTGCCACAAGAATATCGTCGCAAAAAACTATGGTTCAAAGCAGCAAGACGAGATTTTCCAAAATCAAAGTGTTTGTTTTTCTGCTGTGTAGATCATTTCAATGTAGGTTTTTCCTAGATTAACAGTTAGGTGCATTTCTTAATTAAATGATTTTTTGTAGTTAGAGGAGGATATGCAAAACTACATGCGATTTAAATTAGCGGGAGGAAATATAATAATCAAACCGGATGTTGTACCGCACATTTTTGACTGCCAGCCTGACCGAAAGAGAGCGGCAACTGCACCTCAGCGTACATTACCTCTTAAAAGGCAAAGAATGCGGCTTGTAGAAGAAGCTCTAACTCGACAAGAATCTTCTTCAAACTTAGAAACACCATCAACAAGTCACACAAGTAAGTGTATCTACTGTAGGTACATATTTTGTTAAATAAAATTGCATTTGTGTTTGTCAGTAGGTACAATATTTGTAACTTGTATTAAAACAGATTATTCGTAGGCCTTCATACTCTACAAGACGAACCTCAAGAACCAGCCGAAAAGGAAGAAGAACTGAGAAAACATGTTGCAATACAAGTGCGACCCTCATTCCGGAGCAAGTACGTACAGTGTCATATAACCAGTTCGGTGCAACATATGGCAGTTTCACCAATAAAATTACCACAAACATCAGATGTCAGTACTTCTCCACATGTGAAAATGACACCAATAAAGAAAGTAAGTACTCTTCTCTATCAGCAGTAGCAGTGATACAGAAGACATTGAATCGAGCTCTGTTGTACCAAGTACTTCGAGCAGTGAAATGGACACCCTGAAGGATACGGAAAGCGAGGCAAAGCAAGCATTGCAGACAACACTCACACTGATTGAAAGGGTGCCAAAATATTACGTGGGTGTTCCACAGGCTTGGTTGTCAACTGTGATACAAATATTAAGTTCAAAGTCCAAACTTGCAACAGACAATATTCTATTAACATTAATGAAAATCAAACTTAACGATTCCTTTTTACGCTTAGGTCACATGTTCGGAATGTCTGCATCGAGAATATTTACAAAGTGCTTATTTCCAATGGAAAATTATTTGAGAACCTTAATTTTTTGGCCTTCAGCTGAAAAAATTAAATACTTTCTGCCGATTGCATTTAGAGCTCATTACAGTAGTGTGCAGTCCATAATAGACTGTTTTGAAATAGAAATTGAGAAGCCAAAGGACTCTGTTAAACAAGCTCTTACTTGGTCCGAATATAAGAAATGTAATTCATTGAAATATTTGATTTCTTCAACGCCAGACGGTTTTATTAATTTTGTTTCTGATGGTTATGGAGGCAGGATAAGTGATTCTTTGTTGGTCAAAACATGTGGATATTTGTCACTTGTTCCTAGTGGATGTTCTGTAATGGCCGATAGAGGATTCAAAGATATTGGAAAAGACCTTCACGAGCAAAATTGTTGTTTAGTGAGACCTCCAAGCGTGTTGTCTTCAGCAAAACCGACAAAAATTGAAGTTATGGAAAGCAAAAGAATAGCTAGCTTACGTATACATATAGAAAGAGTTATTAGACGTGTAAGGGAATTTCAGTATCTAAAACCTCATTCTGTAATTAATCACAGTTTGATAGGGCACACCGATGCTGTTGTACAAATTGCTTGTGCATTAATTAATTTACAACACCCAATAATAAAACAAGAATAGTATCTACCTAATGCATTTGTTATTTATTTACCTACACTGTCAATCAATTTTGGATACACAAACATTTTCCAATTTTCTACAGCTAATAAAATTAAATTATTTACAAATTGCTCATCAAAATATAAGTGGATTAACTGTACATCATGATCTTTTTCAAACTCTGGAGATGCTACACAAAACCAACCCTCTTTCCTACCTGTACACAACATCTGTAAATTTACTTGTGCCCTAAATTTTGTTGTTATGTCACCGTCTTTAATATATAGTTTGGCTGACTTGGCACTGCTTGGACATTTAATTTCTATGACATACTTTTCTGTAATTCCATCCGGTGAAGCTCCCAATACAGGAAACATGGGCAACGTGAAGAAACCACAAGGATTCACCTTATACTTCAATTTTTCCTCCACACGCTTAAGCACCTGGTGTTCTAGCAGCCTACCCCTTTTCATAAATCTGGTATCCATAACTTTATATGCACCTATTACCCCTTCTCTATCAGCGTACCATCAGCGGTTTTGCAATGTGCAAACTCGTATAACTTTGATGCTGTGATGCGCCCAAACCGCAACTCATGCCACAGTGGCGATTTGGCCTGCAGCTTAGTCATTTTTGCCGCATCAGTACATACCGAGGGTATCATGCGAGTTGTAGCGAACTTTAAAAAATCACTGCACTCAGAACCGCCCTCAGCTGCAAATTTGCACATTAGCTTGTATACTGACAAACATTCAAATTTATCCTCATATGCGTCTGAAGTGTATTTTAGAAGATGCTCTGTCAAATTCGCACTTTCGGCAGCTTTTGTAAGTTCCGGTACAATAGTAGCTGCCTCGCTAGGCCCCGGAGTAGTATTTCTTGTCTTCCGAAACTCGGCTGCTGTTACGAATTTCAGAGACGTTCCCACCGCTGACAACCGCGGCTTCTTCCAATACGATGTTATTTCAGTTGGTGATGGCTCTTCGCTCCTCCGGTGCACCCACATTAAAAAGGCAAGTGCATGTTTGCAACCACCTTGGAGTAAAGAAAATCAAAATCATAATACAAGAACACACAGTTGCATACTTTACCTGCTAATGCGGCACAATCTTTGCATTCAACATTAACAATCTTTTCTTCGGCTTCGTCCACGGTCATTGAAACGGTATAATGTTTGGCCCGTACTTTGTGTTCGGGGCAGATTTTGCACTGCAGTGTGCAAAGTGAGTTTGCTCTCTTCAGCTCAACGTAACCTACGGCGTTATCTCCATATTCTTCACGACCGGCGCTATAAAAACAACAAACAAATCTATTGTAACCTCATAAACGTGTCATTTACGTTACAAAATATATGTGTAATTAGCAAACAGCAAATATTAATCTCCACAGTAGGTAATTCTAGGAATTATGTATTTCATTTTACTTACGCTGCCGCTTTTATGCCTCTTATCTCCGCTGCATTAAATCTATCATCATTCTTTATAAATTCCATAACCATAAATATATCCACCGATGGTAGGTTATTTGAGCCAGCCTTGACGAACCCTTCCTCTGAAGTCATGACTCCAATTTTATCTTCGTTTTTAATAAACACAATTGACAATGAACTAACGAACCACACAGTACACAATGTAAAATATCGATAACCGCTAACCGCTGCACGCGCCAACACACTGCAAATTGTAAACAAACATGGCGGCGTAAAAGGAGTGACGTCACAACCAATGATATTCCGTTTCAGTTCCCACTTTAAAATGGTGTATTTCCTTGCACTTTTTAATTAAAATTTTTATTAAACTAGGACATTACAAATTTTTTAGCTTTGCTAAACTCATTACAGAAGCGCTCTTCTGTACGATAGGGCAAGATTCTTTTAAATATAAATTTAGTGCAACTACCCTATTGCTATACGGGTTGCTGAATGTTTATAATTAAACCTACGTTGTTTATTAGTCAAATGTCCATTATCTTTATATGGTGTGATTAAACAAACCATATTGGGATAAGCAGAGTCGGCTAATAAGTGATACTCTGGTGGAAGCAGTTCATTAAATTGTGAATGAAGTTTTTGTCCTAAAGTTGATTTGGTTAACACTCTTGCATCATGAACACTACCAGGACATCCTAAAATAACATAGGTATAAGTAATTTTGAAACTTAAAAGTAGGCACATTACCCACATAACAATCAATAAATTTATTATTTGCATCACATACTCCTTGCAGCAATATTGAATAATACTTCTTTCTGTTAATGTACGAATTTGGTTTATCATGCGGAGCAACAATTTGGACGTGAGTTCCATCAATTGCCCCTAAAACACCAGGGAAGCCATGGCGCTTGTAAAATTCTGCAGAAATATATTGTCTGTCAGCTTCACATCAAGGCCATTTAATTATCTCTCCTGAAAGCGACACAACCGCATCGACAGTTTTACGAAAATAATCCCATGCCACAGAAACCGGTAGATTAAATCTATCTGCCACTCCTCTACAAAAACACAAAATTACACATCCATCCGAATAAAATTTAAGTATATAGTCATCACCTAAATGTGTCTTGATTAACAAGCATCCACAATGCTACTAGAAATTGTACTTTTGAATCATTAGCAGGTCTTCCCTTCCGTAACTCAGTACTATTCAGTTTCTGTCCAATTTTATTTAGAAGTGCTTCACATGTTGTCCGTGTTATTCGAAAGTGATGGCGAAAATCTAAAAATTTGTATTAGTATTTTTCCTATACAATGTTATACCTACACTTACCATATAAGCTATATCTATCTATAACTCCCATATACCTAATTTTCAATACACACTCTTCTCCTTTTTGTAATTGTAACATGTTTACTAAATAATAATATGTTCTCATCTTCGTCATCTGAATCAAATGTGGAAGCCCAAAATGCAAGGGCGGTAACTGCGGCTTTTTTTTCATCGTCATTTTGCATTTTCTTGTCACTTACCTACGTTATGATGCAGATTTTCAATTATAAACAGAAATTATTTGAGGTTAGCAGAGACTTGTTATAACTAGACCGCGCGTAACGTAGATTTTACTATAAACGCCTGTTGTCAAGATAGGATAGGCAACCAACTGTTCATCGCGGGGCAGACATACATACGTTCTGTAGCTTGCTTTAGCCATGTTTATTCTAAATTTTAGTAGCAAAAAAAGATAACATATAGCTGTTAACTGTTTTAATCGAATTTATTGGTATTTTATTTGAACTAAATTGGTATATAACTGCCTTACTCTAGTCCTAATTTGATTTATATGTGTATTTTGGTGGTGAACACGTATGGGAAAATATACTCTTAAAACTAAAGATGTAAGTAGTAAGATATGATTATTTAGCGGATTTTGATTCAATATATGCCTATCCAAAATCCCAAATGGGCTGTAACTGTTATTTATTTTTCTTAGACTGCTGATAACCATTTTGTTTACAACGCGGTGTGGTGTGGATTGAATGAAAAACCTGAACACATTTTCAGCAATTTGCAAATTTTTAATGCATCGCTTGATACGTGCAACAATCCTCCACGATTTTTTCTAGTTAAAAGCTTTGAATGACTCTCTGATGCGAATAATATCGCATCTGCACATATGGAACATTTAACAGACTTAGCTATTTTTCTTGTAACCAAACCTGAAATATACTTAGTACCAGTAAGTACTTATTTACGTCTATACCCAATAGGCAAATAGGTATTGCCGTTGTCTTGCTGGTAAAGGATGTCGAATAATAGTTGTACGTTATTTTAAGTGAATGGGAAAGTCGAACACGCTCGGTATTGCATTATTGTTTAATACCTTCGTAGGTACCTTTCTAAAATAGGCTTCATTCCCCGCAAATGCACTATGGTGGGAGTAAATTTTTCTCTTCGAATGGCTCTGATCCATTGGCCTTTTAAACTTTTATCCGTTGAAAATCAGCATATTATTTAAAAATTTATCGACAGAGTACATGTTGATAGGCACAAGTTAACCTAAGTTTATTGGTTTATTCTCAACAGAAATTTATCTGTTCACTAATTCGAGCTAATCACGAGAATGATTAATGAACGGAACATCTAAAATAACAGCTTATTTCATTATATTGCATATCATCTCAGCGATTTTTGCCCCGCGGTGCATTGTGTGTTGCATACTGTGTCGACAACACCTTAGATACGTTAAGCCGTTGAGTGAAAAGTAATAAGAGACGCAACTTGATCAATTTATATGAGGCTTGTGCGGGCACCGACAAATAGATGCGCCAGTTGTCAAAAGGCACCGAGATCACAGAGTACTTGACTTTTATTCGGTGCCGAGGCCCGAGATGTTTCAGTGACGTAATTGATTGGAAAGTGTTGGTGATGACGTCACGACAGGGCTGCCAAATAAACAGCTGATGGAAATAAAACAATTCATTCACAAAACACAAATTCATTTTTAGTGCGCGTTTTGCAATGGCGTTTTGTTTCCGATTTCCCTTTTTAGTGTTACTGTCGTGGATGTCCACATGATTCAAGACGGGGAAACGTGCAGTTGTTCCGATTTCCAGCAGAAAATAAACAATTTTACAAGTGGAAAAAGATGTGCAGGTAAGATCTTTGAAACCCAAAGCCCTATTTGTACGCAAAATGATAGTTCAGAAAATAATAAATACCTATTCTTCTCTACAAAAGTTTATTACTCTTTACTCACCTTGCACAATATTAATTGTAGTAGAGCGAGTCAATCGAGATCCGAAGTAGAGTGATGGTTGTTGAAAGTAATTGTTGGCATCTCTGCTACTTTAGTTTTAAAATATGTTGGCAATGTAGAAAACCAATAGTTGGTAGATAACTTGTACTTGTACTTGTACTTATTAGGTGTGTCAAATAAATTTTACTTTACCTAAAATAAAATAAATAAAACAGGTTATGTGCTCAGACGTTTTCTTTCTAAAATACAATTATTAAAACAAGCTGTGTGCGTTAAAAAAAAAAAAACTCTTCGTGTTTAAAAAAAAAAAACCAAAAACGGATAAATTTGTTGAAAAATGGCGTCATCGTCGATAATGGGAATAGAAGATGTTACTCTAATAGATAAATTAATGGGAGCTGAAACATTCCAAGTATGGAAATTCCAGACAAGCATACTGTTTAAAGCCAACGGGTCTTATGAAATCGTAAATGGCAACAAAAAGTTTACAGACCTAACAAAGGATGATGACAAAGAAACATGGGTCAAAAAAGACGCGCGTGCACAAAAAGTGATAATGACTACTATCGACAAGAAATTAATAATGCACATCATAAACTGTAACAATTCGCATGAAATGTTTGAAAAATTATGCACTATTTTCCAAAAGGACAGTGAACAACAAAAATGTAACCTGCTACAGGAATTCTTCAACTATAAATATGAAAAAGACTCGGACATGTCGCTACATATTAGTAAAATGGAAAACTTTGCATTCCGGTTAAAATCATTAAAGCAAGACATAACTGACTGTTGTGACTTTCACAAACACGGTTCTTTTTAAGACTTTTATTAAGTTAAAAATACAACTTAGACACGCTACATGCTACGCTTAAAAACGGACTGCCTCTCACTTCACTTTTTACCACCCGTCCCCTACCATAGAATAGGTAACTAAAACTAATACACTACACTGACGAGATGTTGATGTCTAAAATATTGTCGACACTCCGGAACACTATAAACATTTCGCAACTGCTTGGGAATCAACTCCTGTTGCTGAAAGAAACGTTAATTGCAGAAGAATCGCGAATGAAGAAAGACTCTGAAGAAATGTGGCATTCAAAGCTGTGGAAAAACGTACAAAGAATGCAACACCCATAAAGGCCGTTTGACATTTATGTAAATTTTGTAACAAATTTACATGCAAATTGTGTGCAAAAATTTACAATAGTGGCAAACATAAATTCTTGTATTAAATTTGTAAAAATATTTTAGTTGTGAAATATATAGAACTTGTTCTACATTCTGTGTAAATCGACGCGTAAATCTGCGCAGACTGCTAATTGCATTCGTTATGTTTTGACGCCTTTTCTGACATTTACTGGAAGAAAAGAAGAGGTTAGTTTGTGTCTTTGTGAATTTCTTTAGTACAACCAAAGATATTAATACTACTAGTATTATCTTTGGTACAACCACGACAGACGGTTCGTTATAAACTATTTTCGTGTTGTGTGATAAAAATGTCGTGGTCAAACAGAGAAGTTAGGGTATTAATTGAAGAAGTGCAAAAATATCCCTGCCTCTACCTAGTGAAATCGGCTAATTATAAAAATAAACACGCACGTAACGAAGCATTAGCTTCAATTGTTAAGGCACTTTTGCCATTACGACCCGGAGTTTGCGAAAATGACATAAAAGCCAAATTCAACGGCATTAAAAGTAACTTTTTTAGTGAACATCGCAAAGTTTTAGCCTCTCAGAAGAGTGGTGCCGGCTCAGATGATGTAAGTTCTCCATTCCTTTACCCATGGATGTCTAATTGATTAATTTGTTACAGGTATACAAACCCACATTGTGGTATTACGATCTTCTTGTGTTTCTATTAGAACACTATGAAACACGATCCGCATATGACTCATTAGGAGAAGCATCACAAACTCAAACGCAGAATGAAACCATCACAGAAAGTCTAGAGGAGGAAGTGATGGTGATGCTTTCTTCTCTTATCGTTAGAAAAATACTAAACATCTGTATTACAGGAAGAAGACACAGTATATATGTTAGATACCGAAACTGGAATGCTAATCCCAGAATCTAATATTAGTGAGATTGATAGGGAACAACCACCGATACTCAACACACCCAAGACAAATTGCAACAGCAATCGCAAAAGGAAGAAGACCAGCAATGAAGATAATTCACAATTTTTTATGGAATCAACTAAAGCTCTTCAAAATTTAACGGCGGCCATGCAGTCAAAACAGAGTGATAAGTTGCTAGGTGACAAAAACCAAATTTTGGCTAATTACATCGTTTCAAAACTAGCAAAAATTCACGAGGAAATTAAAGAAGAAATAGAAATGAAAATTGTAAATATTTTATTTGAGGGGATACAACGGTCAAACAATTTGTAGTTATAAGCACTAATATGAATAACCTACTTTCATTTCATTTAATTAAATGTTTATAAATTATGTGTTTTAACAGAATCCTCCTGCCATGCAACTGCGCCTTCCGGAGAATTAAAATACATTTTATAATTATTTCTAATGTCCCTTGCACTATTACTAGAGTTATTTGATCCTTGTCTACACAATGTCTCTAAATATAATGGTACACTGGTTTCTTCAGTAAAAATATTTCCATTATTATATACGGGATCATTTTCATGGCATAAATAATTATGAAGGACCACACACGCATGTGTTATAATTTGAACTTTGTTAACGCAGAGGTTAATTGGATTTAGCAGCACTCTAAAACGGTTGGCTAACATTCCAAAGCTATTTTCGATCATGCGTCTCGCTCTACTTAATCTGTAGTTAAAGATTCTGGTGTCATGGCAAAGGCCTCGTTGTGGATAGGGCTTCATCAAGTTGATTAATAACGGAAAAGCATCGTCTGCTACAATAACATATGGTGCTGTATTGCGAGTACCTGGTAAAAAATCAGGTGGAGGTATATTAAGACTATTATTATTCAACGCCCTTGCTAATGAACTACGATGAAAGATGCCACCATCACTAACTCTTCCATTTACACCAAGATTTACATATGTAAACCTGTACTTTGCATCACATAACGCTAACAAAACAATGCTGTGTGTCCCCTTATAATTATAATAATAAGCTCCATCAGAGATAGGAGGCCTAAAGTTAATGTGTCTGCCATCTAGGGCACCTATACAGTGTGGGAAATTCCACAGATCATAGAATTCCTGGGCAATTTTCTTCCACTCTTCTTCAGTATCTGGAGTCTAGAATGTAGAAATTTTTATACTAGTTACTATGATTTATTTCTTACCTTTAGATATTTTGGTGACAAATGTTGTATAATTGCAGTGCATACCAAAGGAACAAATCTGGAGATGGTGCTTTCATGAACTCTAGTGCTGTACATTAATGATCTATAGCTCTCTCCCGTTGCAAGAAATCGCAGTGTTATTTGCAACCTAAAAGAAAATATAGCTAGTAATAATATCAAGTTAGGTAGGCATGCTTGTAGTTACTTGTCTGTGGTGGAGATAGGTTCTCTCATGAATGTAACTTCTTTTCTTATGTCCTCATCAAGCAAATTTAATAAGAAATTAAACTGATGTACAGATAATCGTAAAAAGTTTTTGTATGAATTGGGATCTTCTGATCTTAGTTCTTGATTTAGCATGTTCACCACACCTCTACCTCGAATTCTACGATGTATCCATTCACGACACCATCTTCGTGAACGCCTTTTTTCTTTATTTAATAGCATTACACCAGCACGTGTAAGCATGCAGACAACGATGGCTGAACACACACATTCTATATCATCTTCATCCATAACAAATTCTCGTTAAACCGATAAAATTAAACTACAAATTCATTAGTTTTACAAAAATGTAACCAGTCTATCTGAATAATATTATGATATGAAATGAAATATAATCAGCTGTTCAAAAGTTTGAAGTACGCAATCGCAGTTTTTAAATAATTTACGTATGTTGCAAACATCTACATTCCATGCAAAATTTGTTAGCAATTTTGTTAGCAATTTTAAACGCTTTCCACGTTTGTAAATTTTTGATAAAATTCGGATGTAAATTTGTTACAAAATTTACATAAATGTCAAACGGCCTTAAGGAAACATTACACCGAGAAGATCTGCTATTCGTGCAGAAAACCAGGCCATTTTTCAAAAGATTGTAGATCGAAAATGAAGCAGTGTAAAATATGCAAGAAAACTAATCACAGGGAAGAAAATTGTTTCTTTCGAAAAAAGGAAGAACCAGAAGACAAAAAGGAGGGAAAAGTAGCATTCTTAACAACTGGAAATCTCAACGTCAGTAACAACTTCGTGGTGGACTCTGGTGCATCTTCACACATGTCTAACGATAAGAGGATGTTCAAAAACTTAGAAGAAATTCAAAGTGAAATCTCTGTGGCAAAGAAAAATCAAACAATTGAAGCACAAGGCAAAGGTACAATTGTCGGCGAAGCTTGTGTGTTAAACAATGTGCTGTACGTACCAGAAATAAGAAAAAACTTGTTATCTGTTAGTGCAATAACTGAGAATGGTGGAAATGTGACTTTTGCAAAAGACAAAGTACTAATAACTAAGCTTAATAAAGTTGTGCTCGAAGGCAGTAAACAAGAAAATGGTTTATATACGGTAAAACTGTCGTCAACATCAGATGTCGAAAGTATGCTGGCCGAAAACAACGAAAAGGTACAAGATTGGCATAGAAAATTAGGTCATCTAAGTGGGGCAACAATGAAAGAATTGATTGATGTTTCGGACAACCTGAATCTTTCCAAAAATGAATGTAAGGAATTGGAAAAGGTATGCGAAGTATGTCTAAAGGCTAAACAAATAAGACAACCATTTAATACAATAAGATATCGAGCCAAAAGACCGCTGGAAATACTGCATGCGGATGTGTGCGGGCCAATTGATCCAATCACATGGGACGGAAAGAAATATTTTTTAGTTATACTGGACGACTACACTCATTATTGTGCAACGTACCTTTTGACAATGAAAAGCGAAGTAATAGACTACATAAAACAGTTTGTGGAAGAAGCGGAAGCTCTTCATAACCTCAGAGTGTCTAAAATAAGGTGTGACAATGGTGGTGAATTTAAAAATGAAAATATAAAAACATGGTGTATAAAAAAGGGAATAATTCTGGATTACACAATTCCTCACTCGCCTCAACTGAATGGAAAAGCGGAGCGATTAAACAGAACAATCATGGAAAAAGCTAGGGCGTTAGTATTTGACTCGCAGCTAACCAAGGAATATTGGGGTGAAGCAATAAGAACAGCTACATATCTACTTAATAGAACACCTACCACTTCCTGTGTGACTAAAGTAACACCTATTGAAAATTGGACCGGTAGAAGACCTAACCTGTCAAATCTCCAGCTGTTCGGGGCCGAAGCTTATGCGAAAGTTTTAGGTTACCTGAGAAAACTCGATGCACGTAGCATGAAATATATATTCATTGGATACGCTACTAATGGATATCGACTCTTTGATCCTAATAAAAAAAGAGTGGTAATTTCACGTGATGTTATATTTAAACAGAATCAAAACGAAGGTGGAAAGGAAAATGCAGTGGTTCAAGTGGTAAATGACCGTCCACACGAGAACGAAGAGAAAATACCTGAAAACATTGAATGCAGCCCAATAATAGACCAGACTGGTGATACTACAGTAAATGAAGAACTTACAAGAGAACGCAGAGTGATTAAATTACCAAAACGCTACGAAGACTATGTTCTACTAACGTACAATGAAGCTGTGAATGGGCCAGAAAGTGAACAATGGAAAGAAGCAATCGAAGAAGAGAAGGCATCTTTAACGAAAAACAATGCTTGGGTTCCTGTCGATAAATCACAAATTGAAGGAAAGAAAATTCTAACGAGCAAGTGGATATTCAAAGTAAAATCAGATGGTCGATATAAGGCACGTCTAGTCGTGCGTGGATGTCAACAACAATATGGAGTAGATTACTTTGAAACATTCAGTCCGGTAATAAACATAAGTTCATTAAGAATAATGTTTGCTTTAGGTGCCAAGAATAGCTACATAATGAAAAAATTCGACATAAAAACGGCTTTCCTGTATGGCGCATTACTTGATGAAATCTACATGCAATTACCAGAGGGATATGATGGAGACAATAAAATCTGTCGACTACAAAAGGCTCTTTATGGCTTGAAGCAAGCGCCATTACGATGGAATAAGCATTTCACAAGTGCGTTACAGATGTTCGGTTTAACAGCAATAAAAACAGAACCGTGTGTGTTCAGAAGTGAAAACGACGACCTATACTTAGGAATTTATGTAGACGATGGTATAATCATGGGCAATGACGAATCAAAAATCAATAAATTACTGGAAGAACTACACACAAAGTTTGAAATCGTTACACACGAAAATGTGAATTCATTTTTAGGTATCGATGTAATAACAAGGGATAACAAGGTTATACTCTGTCAAGAAAAATACACCAAATCAATCCTAAAAGACTTTCAAATGAGTGAAGCGAGGCCTGCCGATACACCGATCAACAGTGACCAGAAGGTTTTGTGCGAAAAATCAACAAAGAACTATCCGTATCGTGAAGCGATTGGCAGCTTGCTATATTTATCGAGTAAAACCAGACCAGATATATCATACGTGATACGCAACTAACTACTTAAGCAGAAAAATAGAGAACCCAAGTACAGCAGACATCTCGAATGTCAAACAAATTTTTAGATATCTAAATACAATGAAAAGTAAAGGAATTGAGTTTAGCAACGAAGATGATAATGTGCATCTTATTGCATATTGTGATTCAGATTTTGCAGGCGACGTAGAGACTCGTAGAAGTACCACCGGGTATGTTATATATTACTGTGGCGGACCAATTTCGTGGTGTTCAAAGAAGCAGCCGTTGGTTTCGTTATCTACGACGGAAGCTGAATATATAGCAGCAGCAGATTGTGCGAAGGAATTGATTTATCTGAAAACGTTAATCGAAGAATTAGTGAGTGCTCAAGTGCAAATTACGTTAAACATTGATAATCAGAGTGCAATCAAATTAATTAACAATGGACAATTTACTAAACGCAGTAAGCATATAGACGTAAGGTATCATTTCCTATACGAAAAATTAAGAGAAGGTTTGCTAAAAATTCAATACTGCTCAACAGAAAATCAAATCGCAGATATATTTACTAAACCTTTGTGTAAAAATAAGTTCAACAAATTTAAAGATTTGCTTATTTGCGATGTTAAATAACCATAGAATATCTAAAACAGCTGTCATTTTGTTTTGTAATATTGTAAAACCAGTGAATCTCAACAATTAAGAGAAGGTGTTGAAAGTAATTGTTGGCATCTCTGCTACTTTAGTTTTAAAATATGTTGGCAATGTAGAAAACCAATAGTTGGTAGATAACTTGTACTTGTACTTGTACTTATTAGGTGTGTCAAATAAATTTTACTTTACCTAAAATAAAATAAATAAAACAATGGTAACAAAATGTTGGGTCACCACTACCATATTATTCCCATGGAATAAAGAGGGCACATGGAAATTTCTTTATCCAGAAACGTGGAAAAGGTGTGTATTAATAAACATTTTTCTGAAATTTGAAAGTGTATTTTCAGAAAAACCAAAAAAGTTTGACCAGTAAGAAATGTAACGAAGAACCCGGAACCATGGAAGCAGGTCCTTTCACTTCAACATTTTTGCTAAAATCTCGAATACTTGAAAAAACCAAGTTGTACTCAAAGAAGAAAATACAAATTTAAATGAAACCCTACAACTACAACAGTGTGAAAAAAAACTATTGTTCCAAGATATTAGTGGGGCTCACTTTTTAGTGTAGCTGGGCTGTGGAAATCATACCACCAGAATATCTATTATGTACGTTGATGAAGTTTCGATTAAATTTAAAATATTTTAAGTGTTTTAGATTTACAGTGAGTAGGTAACATGAAAATGCAAAACATTATCGTCACATTTATATGTGCTACTTGTAATGTTGTACGCGGGCCTTATGAGTAATATGAGTAATAGAGAGAAAAATTATCTTTTTATATCGACATGCTTCAAAGACATCACAAATGGCAGAATTGTGTTGGATTGCACGGAAATTGAAGGTGCAATTCCGCATTCCTTTAAAAAAGCTTTATCTTCTGATTACAAGCAGTGCAGCAACAACTTTTGAGAGTGATTTATTTCCAGGATCATTACATTAGACAAAGTGGCGTCATGCCTCATTTGAGAGAGCATTCCACTGTATTGTTCAAACTTGTGCACCACTAGATTTTCAATATGAGAATTAAAAAAATGTTTACCATTGGCCACTGATTAAATGAATTAAAATTAAGGAAGATGTACAAATAGTTTTATTTTATTTTCCATATTGTAAATATCAATACATATTTAATTAAAAACTAAAATCACTTACTAAGAAAACTAACAGATAACAATACAATACTAACTGTTTTAATAATTTACCTAAAAGGTTACAAACATGTTAAATTTGAATTGTTCTCCATTCTTACATCTATCGCAATTTAGGAGTCCACATGACAAAGATCTTTTCATCATAAGAACAAGTTCTTGTATTTAATGAAAAGCATGGTGTGACCTTTTCAAATTTGAACTACCATCAAATATGAATTTTTGCTCATTCTTAATTCATCTAGTATTCTATGACCAAATGGATACTTTATTTCTGTAATCTACGACGTTGTCATTATGGCAGATTTACCATGTCCACTTTGGATTTCATAAGATCTTATGAATTCATTACGCTTTCTTCAGACACAGCGTTAATCCTGCGCGGTTCTATCTGAACGATTTGAAACATTTTCATGTAAATAAAAATAAGGTCCTCTTGAGAATCGCGCGATTACCGGCGTGTCGGAACAAGCACGCAAATAATAATTACTGCTATTTTCCATCGCGAACGCCAAAATTGACAAATGTGATTACCATGGCATCCACTAGTATGGGCACTTGATAATTTTGAATTTTGTTTTATGAAAAATGCAAATAAAATCTGTTTGGACCGTTGTAGATTAAATTTTGAATGATACAATATGAACATTATTAATGAAACCTGTGGAACTAAAACTACGTGTTACACCTCGTGATTTTAACGTTACACGCGTTTCATTATGATGATTATATCGAACTTGTATCATTAATAACTAGTATCTGCTCCCACGAAGCCATAGCTAAAAAACCATTCCCACAAAGTCATATTCTGGTTAGAATTAGTTTTACGTTCATCATTTAACTCGCGAGTTTAACTCCCACTGTATCCACTTTTATTCCATCTAAATTCCTTTCCTTTAGTCCAGAGAAATCCAAGCCAGAATCCACTTTATTCCGTATAAATTCCTTTTTTTTGGCGAAGAGGAATAGAAAGAAGCAGGACATCTAAAAACAATTTTTCAATTGGTTTAGTAAAAAAAAGTGCTATAATTTTCAGATAGGTACATTTATAATAATAAATTAATAATTTCCTGTGATCACAAAGAAGTAGCTTTAAAAACTCTTCTTATCTCATTATCTTACGAAGGCGTAGAAGGGACACTTATTAAATTTTTATCGACCCAAAATTAATTCCGAGTTAACTAAATCGGAATTATTTCCTTTTTGTTTAATTCCGAGTTAACTAACACGGAATTAATTCCCACCTATTTAATTCCGAGTTAACTAAATCGGAATTATTTCCTTTCTATTTAATTCCGTGTTAACTAACACGTAATTAATTCCCTCGTATTTAATTCCGCGTTAAGTAACACGGATTTAAACCCCTCCTATTAAATTCCGTGTTAACTAACACGGAACTAATTCCCTTCTATTTAATTCCCTGTTAACTAACACGGAATTAATTCCTTTTTTTTTAATTCCGCGTTAATTAACACGGAATTAAATCGAAGGGAATTAATTCAGTGTTAGTTAACTCGGAATGAATTCCTTTCCATTTAATTCCGAGTTAACTAACACGGAATTAATTCCGCCCTTATTAGCGAATTTAATTTCGTATCATCCTTTCTTGGTTGCATGCAACCTTGAGACGTCATGCGCAAACTCTCTCTCCTGCGTTTGACCGTGATTTACCTTGAGTCAGATTTGCAAGACAGTGTTGCGTGTTAGGTATAAACTACAGGTGAGTCTACAACCTCCACAATATGGAACGCCAACTAGAACAATTTCTACTAGAACGCGGCGCCGTCACTGAGATCATACTTGAAGAAATGAAGAAGCAAAAGGTGAGTAATAGGAAAGTGCCTGCCACGACTCTCGGGTGTGATAGTAATATCTGTTCATGTGCAATCTCTTACATTATAGAGGTGTTTCGTGATTTGTTTATTTATACAAGGGCTGTTCACGCTATTCCACAGTCCACACTATAAAGTCCTTGGATTTCAAAAAGTTTTAGATTTGGGGTGGATAAAGGTCTATTAGAAATACATTTTTAAATCGTTTACATAATGCACAAGGTGCCCCAAAAACACGAAATTGATCTATCTTGTTTTCTTTAATGGAACACATTTTAAAAATAAAGGCAAGTTTTATTACAGTTTACTTCCCTTAAATCTCAGGGCTTTTGAAATAACTGCGTTCCGGACATCGGAAAAAGATGTTGAAATGTAAAAGTGAAATTTGTTCCTATATTTTCATAAAATCTGAAATACTTCAAAAACCTGAATTTACGTAATGGCAAACCCTAATAAGGTTTGCCTTCCTTTTTATAGTAGAATCTGAAAATTACGTAATAAACTGGGTGTTCCAATAAAAGAAACATAAATTTGATAGGCTTCGTGGTGGGACATCCTGCACATTGCGTAAGTAATTTTTAAATATGCCCCTAATAGACCTCTCTGTACCCCAAAGAAAAAACCAAGTATTTTAGTCACAATCTGTCATATACAGGGCTCTTTTTTGGAATTTATACGTATAATTGATATGTACCTATACTTTTATCAATGTACTACTGCATGTCTGTAAAATTTCTTTACAAGAGCCTACTATATATTGCTTAGACCGAAATTAGTCGATTTAAGTACCTAAACTTAGTACAAAGTTGCTTACCTAGTTTTGGTGCTATATGACCATGAAGTTACTATTTTGAAATTGTCAATATAACTAGTTTTCAGTTTATACCGGGTGTTTATATCTGTTTCACTTCTTGCACATAAAGGCTTGCCATACCATTTACCTTGTGAGCCAAAGCAATCACTTTTAGGGTGACTTATCCATCTTCTTAAGTTCAAAAGTTCTGACGCTTCTCAAAACATTGCAACTTGCAGCTCTTGAGTGATGCTTCCCACCAATTACCCGAATACAAATGCGACGACGAAGAAAATTAAAATGTACTCTTTGCATAACTACATGCCTCTAACTAAACACTACTCCGAATTGTTAAAATATAACTTTCGTGTAATCGAGTTTTATCAAGAGTACCTTTCATGTAGTCACAGATTACCTTACAATGTATTGAATAATTGTTAAGCTACATTTTATACCCAAACCCCTTTGCTTCCCCTTCCATTGGAATAGAAATTGGAAATATGCAAAATCTAAAAAAGTTCTACACCCATGGACTGATGTTAACCATAATTTTATTCTACTATTATAATTATGGTTGTTTTTGCGGCATCTTTCAACCAAAAATATATAAGTAATTAAAAAAATTAAGAAATGCTGTATTATTATCAAATGCACTAAAAAGGGAAGGTGGGGACGTTTGGGTCGTGGGAGGATTGGGTCACTGGGTTTATTTTCATGTATGGTACATGTATCCCGCTCATAGGTGCATTACTGGTTGCGGTACTAATAGGTGACATTGTAAACAGAGCCTCATGTTTGTCTACGCGTGTGTTTAGTTTATTGGGAAAATAAGTCAATTTCCAGGTAAGTTTCACTTAAATTACTGATATAAGTAGATCATTGTTTTGAGCTTGCATGTACCACGATGTGCTTGTGATTTTTTCTGTGATTTAAGTAACATTTAAGTTACAAATATAAACGACAAATTATAACCTAAAACATATTGCATAAATAAGAGAGGTGCACATTTGTGAATATTGAAGAGAGGGAGGTATGGGTCAGTAGCGCGCGGGAGATTTGAGTCGACCCAAACCTCCCCACTTTCTTTTAGTGAAACGTCTTATTTAATTTTCTTTACAGATTCAAAATGCCTCTAACTTATAAACAGAAAACTGACAGAGAAAGAAAAACACCTGAGCAAATATCACAAGCTGTGCAACTTGTTCTTCAAAATAACATATCAGCTAGTGAAG